AGGCAATCCTCCTCTTTCTATCTTTCCTTATGGAGTTGTTATTCTACCTGTAGAAGTAAATAAGTTATGTTTATGCTGTGAAGTCCTGTTCCAACTTTTTCTTTTTTTTTTTCCTCAGTGTTAAAAATGTTCTGGTCTACGCAGACATCAGTTCTGTATAGAACTTATAAACAGGAGTTAGCCGCATCTCCTATTCAACTCCTGTTCCAACATTTCTGCATTTTTATTGTCTGCTTATTGCGGTTGCTCTCTTGTAAATATTTTCTGCCCTAATTTTTCTTCTTCCTTTAATTCTTTTGATATGAAATTGTTTCACTGCTTCTTAAGCTGTTCTGTGTATCATTTGCTGTAGAACTGCTGGGACAAACTGTGGTTATAGGAAACAATGTTCTGTCAGGCCAAACATATTTGTAGATCCTGAATAATTGAACCTGCTTGCTGATGTGTGAGTAAGACAGTTTACCCCTTCTTGAGTTTTCTTATAAAATACTGGCTGTTACTGTATGAATTAGACCTGTTTTTGGTATGCTATCAAAATGGGAAGAAGAAACTGGGGTTATTTTCTGCCCAAAGATCACAGTCCTTGTCCCAGGCTATTAATACTGTGTGCATGCAGTCAGTGATTCCTCCATCCATCATAGCCAGAAATTTAAGTAGATGTAGTAGAAAAGCTGTTGAAAACAAGGAAGAGAAAAATTTAGTTATTTGTCTGAATAATAATTAATAATAGCATCAGTTTCTTGTACTTGGAAACTAATGCCAGTTCTCATAACTTCTTTTTTATGAATATTTGGAGCTTGGTAATCCAAGACAAAGAGCTTGTAATGTATATATTTTTTATCTGTACTGTTAATAAGATTACTGTTTGTATAAATGGTCATCAAATGCTGCATTCTTTTGAGTAAATGAAAGCATTTTTAAGTTACGCTCCTGGTATAGAGTTTCCTTCTTTGGTTATGCTATTTATTCACTGTTGGTATTTTGATATAGTATCTTACAAAGCAGAAGGCTTTTTCCTTGGTATTGCATGTCAATTTAATTCAGTTTGTTTAAAAATCTCAGGTCACAATTCCATGTGAGCTCAAAATTCAGACTTAAGTATTCTAAGTATTAAGTATTCAAAAGCTTGCTTCTAATGCTGTTCTTGTGAGATCTCTCTCCTGTACTACATAAATGTGCACAAGACTGTACGGAAAAGATGGTAAAATATATCTCTTACCATCACATGGCACTCTGTGGTAACCCTGATGTTAGGTTGTGGAATAAGTGAAAAAAGAAGTTGTGTGCTTGTTTAGTTCTATAATGACAGAAGTGGAAACTGCCTCATTGGAGAGATTTGGCACTTTGTAAAAGAGGGAAGATTGCTGTCACTTGTGGACCTCTGGAAATAGGCACTGGAGAGGAGAGCAGAAAAACATCTGCTTCAGAAGGTTACTATCAAAGAAAAGATCCTGTGAATTACTGGAGGCACGATGGAGGCTATTAATGTGGCACAGGAGAGGGAACATGGAACAAGTGACTGTCAACTGATAATTATAGTGCTTTCTGTCAGATTTTGGGCTTCCAACAGAATCATGAATTGTCCTACCCTGGTAGTCAGTGCACTGGATAATGCTTTCCACAGTTCCTTTCTTTTTATTTTTTATTTTGGAGGAGGTTGGGAAGGGGAAATGTTTGAAGTAACGAGTTTCACTTCTCATACTAGCAGCACACCTAAGTATTTACTTAGCACACCTCTGCACCAAGCTTTGGGCTTTGAAGCCCAGGTAGCATAAAGCTGATTATCAAGTCATTCTGATGATGGAGGATGCCTGAGCTTTTCAACATTGACAGTGTCTTTTCAAATGGAGACATACTATGATATCATTTTTGTTCAGGTGAGGGCTGTTGCCTGCTCTGTAAGTAATGCCTCCTATGTTATTAAGTTGTCCCACAAGATGAAACTTCCTACTAATATCATGTTACATTTTGTTGCCATGTGTCAGGTGGCAGCAGAGGGACATTCTTACAAACTGACATCTGACATGGAAGTGCATTTGAAGCAATGATCTGAAACTGAATTCCTCCATGTGGAAAATATGGCACCCATTAACGTGCACTTTTGCTTGCTGAATGTTTATGGAGACCAACCAGTGGATGTGAGCACAGTGTGATGGTGGTTGGAGCATTTCAGCAGTGATGGTACCTACAGTGTGTCAACTCTGCTGATGCAGATTTTTATGAGCACAGCATGCAGGCTCTTGTTCACTGCTGGTGAAAATGCATAGCTAATGGCAGCGACTATGTTGGAAAACATTGTTTTGTAGCTGAAAATTTGTTCTATCAAGTACTGTTATTGTTCTCTTTGTGTCTGGAGAAGTTTCCATAGAAATAAATAGGAGGCATTACTTTTGGAGCAAGCTATGGACAAAATTACTTGTTTTCCCTATGCCTTTCTACACATTTTCTCTGTAATCCTGGTGTAATCATGCATCGGGAGAAAGAGTGGAGATCAAATGCATATGAATTATGGTGATTGCCAAGTCAGCAACTAGTTTATCTTTCTTACCTTGAATGCTGTTTTTTTACAGTGGATGGCAGAAATGCCCTTGTATGCCTTTGCTTATAGCGAAGAACTAACATAAAGAATGTATCGCAGTTTGCTTTTCAGAATATGTTGTGTACTTCTCTTTTAACATTCTGTTGTACCAGATCCATTTTACACTTGCTCTGCTATAGGAGTTATTTTTCTTTCATCAAGATGATTTCACTGATTTCCTCATCTGCAAAAGCCTGTTACCTTAGTTACCTTAGCGTGTGGACTGGCACAATTGATTGATAGTGTGGCAACTCAAACACAGACTTTCACTTAAATGAGAAGCTAGGTGAAAGATTTACCCTGTTACACACATTTATGAAGGCAAAACTTTGAGAACTGGTAGTGTCTACTCAAGCACAACACTGAGTAAATGGCTCTCTGGGCAAAAAAATTATGGCCCCACAAGCTAACCACCACCTGATAAAAACTGTTAAAAGATATGTGTCTCTCTTGCAGAATATTCTCCTTTGGAGCTCAAGGTTCATAATGGAGCAAAGGTTCATAATGATTGTGAGCCTCAGTGACATAGTTAGGCCTCGGGGATGCCAGATTTCTCATTTCTTCTATTTAGGTGTATCTTCTTGTATTTGTATCAGCATGACCACTGTCAGTTGCTGACAGGTACTTGCAGTGTTAGCTCTGCTGTATTTCACTGTTGTTTTTTTCTTTGTTTTTTTTTTTTTTTTTTAGTTATTTTTCCCTCTGGAAGGAATTGTCAGCAGTCAGAAACACAGATTTTTTGTTCAGAATCATGATTAACCATATCTTCTATTTATCACCTTCATGAAAATGAGCAAAGAATTTTAAGAAGAGTGTGTAGTTACCTAGATGATCTCCTTGCTACAATACAGGTGTGCCTCTTAGTCCCGCCTACATCCCTCCTTCCCTTCTTTCCTCCTTCTCTCTTTCTCTCCCTCCCACCTGAAGTAAAGAGGAAGCTGTTGGCAGTATAACTCACTGCACTTATAAGACAAGGTACAGTATATATCTGCTTCTTTCTGTAATAAATCATTACAAATAACAGCGTTAGTAGCAAAGTTCATTGCCAGCTGTTTACTGTGCAGAAAAACTGCAAGTCAGCTCTTATGATAATGTGGTAACTAGGAGACTGCAGGAGTAAAGTGCTAAAATTTATTCCACTCTGCTATCAAGAATAATTTTAATTAATTGTTCCTTCCTTAGCTTCTGATGTTCTTTCTCTATTTGTATTTATTCTCTTAGTTGCTAGTATACTCCTGAGGCAGTAAAAGCAGCAGAGCTTACTATCACAGACACAAAGCCACAGAATGATCTGAGTTGAAAGGGTCATTAAAGCCCACCCAGTTCCAACTCCCTACTGTGGACAGGGCTGCCAAACAACAGGTAAGGCTGCTCAGAGCCCCATCTAACTCAGCCTCCAGGGATGGGGCATCCACAGCTTCTCTAGTCAACCTATGCCAGTGCCTCACTACCCTAAGATTGAATGATGATTTAAAGCCATTTTCCCTCATGCTTTCACTACACTTCATGATAATGAGTCTTCCTCTTCAGTTTTCCTGTAGGCCCCCTTTGGAAGGTCTCTGTAAGGTCTCTCTGGAAGCTTCTCCAAGTCTGGGCAGCCCCAATTCCCTTACATTGTCACCTATCATAGAGATGTGCTGCAGCCCTCAGGTAATTCCTATAGCCTCCTTGGGACTTGGTCCATATTCTTCATGTGCTGGGGGCCCCAGAGCTGAAAGCAGTACTTGAGGAGGGGCCTCATTAGAGTGGAGTAGAGGGGGACAGTTACCTCCCTTACCATTTCTGGTAAAGTGTATTTTACTTCTACCCAAGCACTGTGCAAGTTGCTTGCTGGCCTTAACTACATTCTCCTTAGAATCTCAGATCTCTGAGAGCAGCTGCAGAGAAACAGCCTGTGCCTTTCTATCAGGTTCGTGGTGCTGCCACCAAGTCTGACACTGGTGCTGGTTGCTGTCAGTTATGTTACATGACTTTAGCCAATGGCTGAGCATTCAAAAGTGAGATGAGTGAAAGCTGAATGGAGAAGCATATGTGATGCCTCCCTGCGCTCGCAACCAAACTAAAAGGGAGGCAGTTCACATCTCAGGCACTGTGTGGCAGAACATTGCAGCAAATCTCTGCCCTTGAGCATTCAAAAATGCATGAAGAACAACAACAAACTGTTAAAAGCACTCATCCTCCCCATATCATCTCAAAGATTTTCTCTTGAAGTGATTTAAGGAAAGTTTTGGTCTGTGAAGGCTCCTGTTCTTTGTTTGAAGTGCGGCATGGAAATTGTGCTGTTCCTTGACCCCTGCCTGCTCCGCTGTCCCAAACTGCACTCAGGCAGCTTCTCCACATTCTTGCTTATGTCATTGTTTATTTTTCTGGTCTAAAGCTGTGTCTCTGTGTACTGTGTTAGCTCCGCCTCCTGCTCAGGGACAGATCCAGGCTCTCTGCTCACTACCAAGTGGCAGCAGTGGGAGTAGGCAGTGCCAACTGGACTCAGCTCAGGGGCCAGAGCTGCTGGCAGGGAACAAGGCTTGGGCTGGAGCAGGGAGATGGCAGCAGAGATCATGCTAGGAACCACAGAGGGAATGCAGCTGCTGCCCTGGGTGGCTGGAGCCATCACCCTGCTGCTGACAGTGGTAACTGTACGCTCCCTACCCTCCTTGCTGAACTACTGGTGGTGGTGGCGGGTGATGAAGCCCATCCCAGGCATCAGCCCATGCTATCCCTTTGTGGGGAATGCTCTCCTGTTGGAGCGGAAAGGAGAAGGTAAGGATGGCTTACCTGCTAGCTGTGGGGTCTTTGCACTGTGTGGGGCTTGATGCAGGAACCAGTCTTCAGGAGATGTGTGCGTGGCCAAGTCGTGGCAGGTGGCAGGATGTGTCATTGCCCATAGGTAACTTTTGGACTATGGACTACTACAGAAGAAAACTGAGAAATGAACAGAGAAGGAGAGAAACAAAATTGTTATAAATGTGGTATTACTTTTAGTGAAATATTAGTTGCAGGTTGAGTCTGATAGTAGTTTCCAGGTACTAGTGCTGGACTTGGGACTCCTTCTTGCTGTTAGAGATGGGGAGTGAAAATGCTGTTGAACATATTTTTGCAGGAAGTGTGCTGGGCTGTCTCCACAGGAAGTACTGTTTCGTAACACAGACCACTGTATCCATAGCACAGCTCGTATCTGTAATCCAAACAAAGCTTTTAGCTTGGGAAGCAGAAGCACTTCAACAACATTTTTTTCCTTAGTGAGAAAGTGCAAGGGAATTCCAGCAAGCTAAACTACTATGTTGTTTTCAGATTTAGCTCTCCATTATGTTTCTGCATTTGATTCAAAATAACTTATTATTTGCAAAAATAGCAATTTTTACTGAGTCTGTGTTGATCACTAGTGCCTCCTTTCAGCCGGATTCTTGAGAGAACACAAATGCAAAGAATTCCCTTTCTGTTAGATATCCTGTCTTGCACAGGAAGGAGCACAATTCCTTCCTGAGGAGTCCCTCTGATGGGAAAACTTCTCCAGCTGTGCTGGCAGTGAAATAGTAGGGTGTGTCTATGCATGTCAACCTGCTCTGTGCACTCACATTCCTGACTCTGTTAGGTATGATGCAAAAAGGGAGTCACAGGGAGTGCATGGAAGTAATGAGAACAAGCATAGCATGGATCTACACACTGTTCAGTGCTGACACAGAGATGTTCCCTCTGCCTTTTCACAGTGCGTACCCTTGCATCCTGTGGAAACATAACATTTCCTCTATATACAACCTTGCTTTTCCTACATACACAAATGAGAGACCTTGGTTGGAAGTGAGCAGAATCAGAATGCAGTGCCATTAGAACTTTGCATAAGGCTAGGGAATGCTGTATTTGGGTATCTATAGGGAAACCAGTCATCATTCTTTCCCTTCTGTTTTGGGACCTTTGACTTTTGAACTCTACATAGGCAGTGGGAGGAGATCATTTGTTTTTTAATCTGGGTGTGAAAGGACAAAGACAGATTTAATACTAGACATCTTGATAGCAGCCACCTCCTCTAGAAACCTAGAGTTAGCCTGATTGCCTTCTGTGATGAGATATTGGGACCTGTGTGCACGGAAAAAACATAGACGCTGTGTAATTGGGTTAAGCAAAGTCTTTGATATCCTATCCCATGCTTCTGTATAGCTGAACTAGAAGGATAATGGCTGAGTGGATAAGAAGACGGGTGGAGTACTGACTGTCTCACTACTGTGAAATTCAACTGGCAGCTGTGCAGTGATGCAATTTCTCATGTGATTCATGGCATAGATGATCATATGAGCATTTGTGCCCTTAGAGATAAGGGCATCTGAATTGCTAAGTCCACAATGTCTTTGTAAACAGCCATTTATCCTTCAGTAATGTTTCTAAAATGATGAGAGTTTAATCCTTTGATAGCCTGCTTTTAAAGTCCTCTGCTATTATCAGCTACCAAACCTTTTGAGTGATAATGGTTCCTGCACAATGCTCTGCCATTACTGTGTGATGTGTCACTTGAGTGTGTATCACAAATGTACCATCTATGGAAGAAGTATCAGATGGGAAAACGTTTGGTGCAATACTTGGGAAGTAAAGTAGTGTCTTGATGCAGCATTTTGGCTAGTTCCAAGCAAACATAAATTTTGATGACGTTAATTTGGTTCAAAGTTATAATAGAAGCACTGTAGTGCAGCAAGCCTATTCTACAGTGCTCTGAAATAACTTAAGTCAAATTGTCTTGTTTACAGTTTGGTGAGGTTTCTCCAGAATACAGAACCTTTGAGAGCGTGGCCATAAAGAAGTGCTCCCTAATAGACTGGAGAAAAATATGCTGTTTGGTCATCATAGTGAGATAAAACTACAGCAAAAACATAATTACAGAGCATAAGATGAGAAACTTCATCACAAGAGTCTTTCATCTCCAGCAAAAGAACACTTTATCTGCTTTTTCAATTCTAGGTTTTTTTAAACAGCTACAACAATATGCTGATGAATTCAGGAAACTGCCAATGTTCAAACTCTGGTTAGGTCCGCTGCCTGTCATGGTATTGTACCATCCTGATACTGTGGAGGTAAGTGTGCTTGTCTCCTTTTTTTCAGTTTTACTATCATGCAAATCAAGCTCAAGCTGTTAGTTTTTATTCTGTCAGTGTAATTTTTGCAAAAAAGGGCTTGAACTGATTTAACTTGAGGTTAAACTTGAACTGATTTAACCTCTGATCCCATGCAAAAGAAAAGCTGAAAACATAGGAATAAAAAAGCCTAATCTTGGAAGAATTCAAGAAGAATGGATCAGCAAGTGAAAGCATCTAATTAATATGTTTTGTACAAAGAAACACCCTCCCTTAGTCTTGTTTTCCTGTGTGGAAGCTTCTGCTCCAAAAAGATCAGAACTGGCAAGTCCATAGTAGGGAAGTCTGGGCTACCGAAATAGATGTAAAGCATTCTGAAACGCTATTTGCAGTGGTTATATCTATTTGACTTTTGCATGAGAATTGATGAGTCCGTTTTGATGTCATGAAACGTAGTTGCTAGTTTAGCTGTGGATAGTGATTACCATTGAGCTGGGAAGGTGGAGTTGTTTCCTTGCCGTGATACAGAGTTTCCATTGAAACTGGATGGTAACATCACATTGACAAGTGGGCAGAAGTGAAAGGCAAGGTTGAGAACAAAGATCTGGTGTGCAAAAGATGACCCAAGGGAAAAAATCCAGAATACGCCACTTGTATCAGCTTGTGCTGAAATAGTACACATTTTATGAGTGAGCAAATGTTAAGTTTCACTCTATCATCTGATGACATTATTTAGTGCTATTTTGGTTATTTATGAAAGTAAGGAAAAAAATACCCCTGTTTAGGGACTGCTAGTTGTTAAGCTGATTGCTCTATGATTTCAATGTGGTATTACACAGAATCATAGAATTGTAGGGGTTGGAAGGGACCTCCAGAAATCATTGAGTCCAACCCCTCTGCCAAAGCAGGTATTATTGGAGATGAAGGGGTAATATACTTTTCTTGCTGAAAAACATCTTTGTAGATGCCAATTTTTCAGCAAAGAAATGGTACTTCCTTTGAATTTGGCTGAGTATGGCAACCACCGGGTTTCTCTGAGCTCTGCTGGTGACTTTAGGGATATTTTATTTTTATTTTTATTTTTATTTTATTTTATTTTATTTTATTTTATTTTATTTTATTTTATTTTATTTTATTATTTTTTTGAGGAAGATAAGGGGAATGGAGGTAGTAGGCTCTGAGTACTTCCCTATTTCTTGGGATTTGAGATATTTATGAAAAGACTTGAAGGTGTAAATTTTGTGCTTCCCCTGAGTACCAGCTGGTGCATTTTCCTGCGGCTGTGGGCATTTTGATGGACAAACTGAAGCTATGTAATCTTTGCTGAAGACATCTCTCCATCTAACACGCTATATTTTTTGCCCTCCTCTCATTTTCTGACAGGTTATTCTGAGCAGTTCAAAGCATATACAAAAATCATTCCTGTACAGATTTCTGCACCCATGGCTGGGGACTGGACTTCTGACAAGGTATAGTAAAATACAAATTTGATTTATTATTGCCACCTTAGAAGTTGCAGGCTATATGGTAGGAAGAGTGCTTAGTGACAGGAATGTTGTGTGCATCTCTGGGCAGGTATAGATAGCAACTCTAGAAATCTTATTTGTTGTGACAAACTTGGCTACACTTCAGCTGCTAATGCCTGATAAAAATATTTTGGTGTTAACGTATTTCTCAGTAAATCTGACCGTTGATACTTTTTTTGCCAGAATCTTCAAGCAATCTGTTTTGAAAAGTTGTATCCTGTGGAAAGTGGTGTCCTCTAGTTCGCTGTGCTGTATGTTCAGTGTTTTGACTGTTATGTCAAATAGGATTACTGTGACAATACTGTTTGTGTACTGCTTACTTCAGTAGGCTGTACTGAATTCAAAATTCAATACAAAATATTACTGAAATACAAAATATTACTGAATACAAAATTGCAGACTTTCTTGAGGAGTCTTTCTTGATGTTGGTGATGCTTTGGGGTGAAATGGGAGAGTATCCATACTCAGTACATTTTCCTTTATGGAATGGAGACTTATAAGGAGTGATCCTGGCTCAGAGTGCAGGCAAGGAGTGGAAAGAAAAAAGAGCAGTGGTGTAAGACTTTTGTGTTCAACGGTCTTTGGCAGGATTGAGAAAAGTTTCTGATTTGGATAATGCAGATATTAATTCACCAGAGCAAGGCAAATACAAGTCTGATGCCTCTATGCCTCTTCTTTGTACATCAAATTCCTCCTGTTAGCAGTGGAGCTTTGTTGCCTATTTAGAGTTCTTAGTGAACTTCTGCTTCTTGATGAGACCATGCTGTTTTAAAAGCCAGCTGTGATTGTGTGGTGTAGAAAATGCAAGTATATGTGGGAGGATGAGAAGTGCCATTTTACCTGTATTTTGTTTGTGTCTCTTACACAAGAGAGGTAGTAATCAATAGCAAAGTGCAGAGTTGAGGTTCCTGGGTGTATGTGTGGCATATGCTCCCAGAAACTCATTTTGTCTCCAGGTAGGCTTTTAGGGATATTTTTACTTCCTTGAGATTGCAAAACATAGAAATATTCTACTCTCTTTTAATGTTACATTTACTCTGCTGGCTAAGAGCAGTTCAGGAAGACAGCAAGCTAAGCTAGCCCAATGGCAGGTTAACTGGAGAACTGTTGTGATAATTTGCCCTGTAAGAAGAGCATCCAGTTGTCTGCTGATGGGACGCCCAATTCAGAAAAATGAAGAAGAACCTCCAAAAGCAAGTACCACAACCTGTGGCTCTTTCACAGACCTGTGGATACTTCGTAGACAAATTTTGAGACAGTTGTTTCATTGGCATGATATCCTCAGCATTCATTTCCAAGATAGTCAGAAAATGGGCAAGCACAGGTGGTGATCCACAGATGCGATATGAGTTAGGCCTTAATGTTGAATAGCTGGTTTGTCTGATAGATAGATTCTGCTCACTTTCTCTGAATCTGTGCACAAAGTAACTGGCTGCATTGCTTGAAGAACTGTTGGTAACTTCTTTTATTGATAGCAGATATGGAAATGGTAGTTTGTACTTCACAGAGAGCTGAAGCAAGAAATGTCTCCCACTTGCTCCTTCTGGTGAGCGTAATAGGGATTTTGAAGTGTCAACCACAGCATGCCTACCTATGAAGCTTTTCCTGGTGGAAGTTTTTACTATGTGCTTCCTGTAATAGTGAGCAGTTGGAGATTCAGCCTTTCCCTCTCCCCTGTCACTTTTGCAGCACTGGAGACAAGTGGCGGTCACGGAGGAAGATGATAACTCCCACATTCCACTTTGCAATTTTGAATGACTTTCTAGAGGTTATGAATGAACAAGGGGGTATTTTGTTGGAGAAACTTGAGAAGCATGTTGACAAGGAACCATTTAATATCTTTATAGACATCACTCTGTGTGCCCTTGATATTATCTGTGGTAAGTTCTCTTCAGTTCTTGTGGTGGGGCTGTGAATGATGCAGATGCTCATAATGGCACTGCGTTGTGAGAGGAGATGAATGTCTGCTTACCGCGTGCAAGATCATCCTTTCTCCCATAGTCCATGTAATGGGCCATTGATCAGGTGAGCATTGAGCTGAGCTTGTGGGATGAGCAAGGCAGAAGCAGGAATCTGCAGCAAGGTTTTCTGAGGAGCAGGGTTTCTGTGCACAGAAATAAAGATCAAGATTGTTATCTGTAAAGGTTTGTATGTACTTACTTGTCAGATTGACAGTGTGGTGACAATCAGAGGATGGGAGCAATATTCACACTGTGTACCAGGGACTTTGAACTTCAAACTTGTGCAACAGTGATAATTTTCTCCTTCTAGAAACTGCGATGGGCAGGAATGTGGGTGCTCAGGACAATAAGGATTCTGAGTATGTTCGTGCAGTCTACAGGTAAGTGGAGATTCTTCACTTCTTTGTAATTAGGTTGGAATTGTTGCTGCCAGTGTTACTTAATTTGCTCTGTGAGCCAGGAATGGAGATGAGGGTAATACAAGTGGAGTTAGAAAGCAAAGAAGGCTAGGAAAACTCCTGAAATTCTTCTATCATGAGTATATGCAGTGGGAAGCTGAGGCTGCAAAGAAGTGTCAGCTGCCATTCAGTTAACCTGTGGTACTGGAGGTAATAATTCCTCCTCTGAGGCTCTGTGTCCAAATGTATGATTGATTTTTGATTCTTGAAAAAGTGCTGTGAATGTAATTTTTGTTGACAAATGTTACATGATGTACTTTTTGTGCTCTTAGGATGAGTGATCTAATCCAACAGCGACAGAAGTGCCCTTGGCTTTGGCATGATCTTTTGTACATTCTGTTCAAGGAAGGAAGGGAGCATGAGAGGAATCTTAAGATTCTGCACAGTTTTACAGATACAGTATGGCCTCTTTTTCTTTTTTTTATGTTACATTTTACTTGATTGGTTTTGCACTTGGTAGATATCTTCCAAATAGGACTTGAAATCAACACTCCTGATGTACATTTATTAGGAGGACTACTGCTCTGTGATGCTGAGGAATACCCTGAAAAAAAGGCAGTACCTGGTTTTTCTGTCATGTGGTCTCAGTTTTGAGCAAGGGAGTGCACTACTGCAAAGGAATAGTGCAATCAGCCCTTTCAAGCAGAACTGCTGAAATAATACATCCAGGTTCCCACATCAACTGTAAGGCACTTTGGCATGGAAATCATTGAGCATACACTACTAGCTTTGTATAAAATGCAGTCTTATTTCACTGTTTTAGGCTGTGAAAATAACACCCATTTCTCCCACTGAGTAGAACTTGTGCTGTTTTTGCCAAAGGCTGCCCTTCTAAGCCACTGTTACAAGATGTTACCAGGAGGCTGTTTTCCTGGAAATGGGTGTATATAACCCTGCGATGTCAAGGTATTAGGTTCCTACAGCAGATGAAATAGTCCCAGAAATTTTAATCCTCCAATGAGCTGTATTGGCTATATACAGCTATGTTATATAGAGAAGTGGGCATTCCTATCATACTGGGTTCTGTCAGAGTGAAACTCAAATGAGAGTTATTTTTAAGTAGCTCAGGTTGTATTTTGCTTGCTCTTAATGGAAATTACAGCAGTGAAGGATGTGAGAAAAGGACTTGAGATAATAATTCTGTCTTCTCATGTTGGATTGATGCATTAGATATAAGAAGTGAAATATTCGTAGAAGATGACAAAGGAAGTAAAATAATATCACTTAGTGTTGGTGCTGACAGAAAGCAGAGATGAATAATTTTGAGTGTATGTTTAGTGTGGGAAACAATGGGTGTGTAATTGTATTTTTCCACATCCAGTGCTTGTTCTGAGCAGAGTTATGTAGTGCACAGCCCCTTTTCTTGTGTTTTTCCCTCTCACTGATTCTTTTTTCCTGCCTCTTGTTGATTTTTTTTTTTTCCTTCTTGTTGTTTTTCTCTCTCCAACAGAAGCTCTCCATCTGTCACACTGACCTAAAAAGAGTGAGGTCAAACATTACTCTGATACCAAAGAGAAGCTAGGAGCTTTCAATGTAGTGTTTGCTGTCATGCTATATATAATTCTGATGTGGTCTTGAGGAGTGCCCTGGGTTTTCTTCCATCTTCTGGTTTTCCCAGAGGCTGGAAAAATGGTCCTTTTCTTAGTGATTGGGTTGGGTTAGATTTCTTCTTGGTGGTTGTTCTGTTCATATTTTTATAATCTTCTCTGACTGGGACAAGAGGGACATATTTCATCTAATATTTTATATTTCATCATTTTTATCATTCATAAAGTCAGTTAAGGTTTAAAAGCTGAAGCTAACAGCTATTCTAATTAAGACTACCTCGCGTGGACTGCTACAGATGTTAAAACATGTTGAGACAATTCTGTGTGGTGTAGACTGTACGTATACACTGCATGCATCATATCCAATATAATGGTTTTAATTTCAGGTCATTGCAGAAAAAGTTGCAGAACTTGAAAACACCAACCTAACAAAACACGATACTGACATGAACAGTGAAGAAAAAAGTGGATCCAAAAAGAGAGAAGCTTTCTTGGACATGCTGCTGAATGCCACAGACGATGAAGGGAAAAAACTCAGCTACAAGGACATTCGTGAAGAAGTAGATACTTTCATGTTTGAGGTACCCAAGAAAGCTATTGTGTGTTATTTTTCTTTTTTTCCAGAATGCAAGATTCACCTGTTATAGGTAGTGATCTTTCTTTTTCTTAGTTTGGGAAGCTGCTTTTAGTATCAAGTTATTTTATCCCAAGAAGCCTAAGAGGAAACACCTGTAGGAGATAAATTATCTATCTAGAATTTTATGCCTGGAAAAAATGTGGAACAGTACACGTGGCAGGTCCTGTCTACACAAACAGGCTATGTTTATACAAACAGATGCGTAATAAGACATAATAAGAACTTGATGACTGAAATGGAGCTTCTGCTACAAGTCTCATCCATACTAATGAGAACTCTAAATGTTTTCAATATTATGCCTCACATCTTTGTCAGTTCTTTTTTGCCATGTTGGCTGTAACCTTCTGTTTCTGTCACAACTGTGTCTCAGAGGAGTTCAATTCAGAATTGTATTAATGCCATTTTAACTTAGAGAAACTCTTGCTGTTTTACCATTCCTGAAATACTCCATAGCATGCAACATTACATAATAAATGGAATTCTTTGATGCCAAACAGATTTGATGGTCAACCTTTACTTTTTCTGTTTCCATCAGTTGCTTTTTTGTTTGTTTGTTTGTTTTGTTTTGTTCCTTTTCCATATCCTTTCACTATGCAGTGCTGAAAGCACTTCTCTTAGGAAACCAAATAGTATCTTCTCCTCTGTCTACTCAACTTTGTCTAATTAGACCATTCTGGGTAAAGCTTTTGAAGATTACAGACAGTGTCCCTGGTACATTTACTGTATCAGTTACCAGCACTTGATGTCATAGACTGGACAATAAAAGAAAAGATGACTATACATCTATTTCATTGCCTAGATATACAGAGACACTGCTCTGATATACCTTGCTGAACAGCTTATCCAACACTTATCAGGAAGGGGAAAAATTGCAAGAATTACTGACCTATGTAGAGCCATAGGAGCCAGTCACTGGATTCCTGAAAAGGAGCAAGCAGCAGGCATCACCATCTGGGACAACATGCAATTTTCAAGAAGCAGAGTAGAAAAAAGGATTTTTGCTGGGTTTTTTCAACACTTTTTCACTTTTAGTCAGTCTTCAGGCACACAGTATGAATCCTGAATCATCTTGTGTGTGTAGGACAGAGTTCACTCTTTTTTTTTTTTTTTCCATAAGGTTGCTGGAGTAATAGAGCTCACTTACCCTGCTAGCTGTATTTATTTAGCATACTTGTGCCCAAGTACAGAGTTGAAGTGAATGTCTTTGTAAACCTTGATTTCTAGGGTCATGATACAACAGCAGCTGCTATGAACTGGGTCCTATATTTGCTTGGTAATCATCCTGAAGTCCAGAAGAAGGTTCACCAAGAACTGGACGAGGTGTTCGGTATATTTTCATTACTCCTTCATTAGGATTATGGTGGTTTTTGCATTTGTGGATGGGGCTTTGATAGAATCATTGTTAGCCTAGAGGTAGAATTGCATGTAGGATCAAATCTTGTGGTCATCCTGGAGATTTCAGTATCTGGGTGTGGTGGGCATTGGTACTGGATAATCTATAGGAGAATACAGCCTAACTAATACTTATGGGCCAAGGCATATATTCAGTGTCTGTATTACCACCTACCTTTTCCTGTTTGATGCTTGTACATTATGATCTCAACTGCTGGAGGGAGATGGGATGTGCATGTTTATTCAGAGCAGAGTGAACCCATCTTGTTCCCCTTTCATCCCTATTTTCTTTTGGATAGGCAACACAGAGCGTCCTGTTACAGTGGATGATTTGAAGAAACTTCGATACCTTGAGTGTGTTGTGAAAGAAGCCCTGAGGCTGTTTCCTTCAGTTCCCATGTTTGCACGTTCCTTGCAAGAGGATTGCTATGTTGGTAAGTAACATTCAGTTTGCTGATGTTTGCCACTTTCATTCCAGCAATTTTAGTGGAAGTGTTTCCCAAGTAAAGGACAGGTGTTTTGTTTTTCTGTGTGGTTGTTTATTGGAAATCACTTTTTTTCCCTGCTGTTTTTTAGTCTTGTTTTGCTGTTGTTGTTGTTGTTTTATTTCCTTCTCTCCTTGTTTTCTTCCAGGTGAATATAAGCTACCAAAAGGCACAAATGTCCTTATCTTAACTTATGTGCTGCACAGAGATCCTACAATCTTCCCTGAGCCAGATGAATTCAAACCTGAGCGCTTCTTCCCTGAAAATAGTAAAGGAAGGCACCCATATGCTTATGTGCCCTTTTCTGCTGGCCCCAGGAACTGCATTGGTACGTAGCTGAAGATGATGACTTCATAATGTACCAATGCTGCTAGTAGTGTGGTGACCCTGGTACCAGTGAGTGTATAAGAAATTGGAGACTTGATGTGCCTGTTGCTGGCCCCTCAAGGTTCTGAGTGTTGTCTCCCCTGTCAGCCTTGTGCTTGAGCAGCAACAATTTTTTTCTCCCCAAAGGTTTCCTTTCTTCCCAAGGCCCAGTGCATATCAATCTGGTCTTTCCCCTTTACTGCCTGTCTGTCATGGCAGCTGCTGTGTCAAGACAAGATTGCTTCCAGCCTTCTGTTCCTTGCTTTGGGATGCCAAAGCAGTTCACCGTGGAGCAAGATGAGGCTCTTCCTGCTGTCCTTATGCTGCACCGTCTCATGCTGTGTCATTCTTCCATTTCCTGGTCCCAAGAGAAGTGATGGGGCTGTGTTTTGTTTTAGGTCCATGTAAACTTTTGTTAGTCTCCTGTTCAGTGTTTGAGTCCCATGGACTATTGGAAGAAAAATGTGCTGTAAGTTGGCCAAGAAATGACAGAGATGCTATGTAGAGAATAGTAACTCAGTAGTATCTGTATGACCTTAATTTTAGCTCACAAAGTCCTTTCTGCCCTATGTTCCTAGAGGTATCATTGTGAACAGACAAGTGTTGCTGCACCTTGACAATAACATATTTTTTTGCTGCACTGTAATCCGTAGGCCAGCGCTTTGCACAAATGGAAGAGAAAACTCTTCTAGCCCTCATCCTGCGGCGCTTCTGGGTGGACTGTTCTCAAAAGCCAGAAGAGCTTGGTCTGACAGGAGAACTAATCCTTCGTCCAAATAATGGCATCTGGGTTCAGCTGAAAAGGAGACTGAAAACCATAACAGACTGAAAGGAAATTCAAGATTCTGTTTTTCCAGAAACTTCCAAGCTACTTGAACTGAGATGTATATTAAATCAGATGTTATGATAGCAATCCTGCAATTTGTTGGATTTAAATGTTACTGCTGATTGTTTAATCAAATCCAATGTTCTAATAGACAGAAGTTACTCTACTTTTCTTAGGCATGAGAATTTCATGCTTTTTTTTGAGTTGCAAAACTTTAAACATCATGTCTTGGTGCCTTATCTCCTCAGATGAAGCTATTCTATTGCAACCCTGAAAATTAAGGTGCTAACAACAGTAATGTTTTTGATGGAGAGAGCTGATTATTTTTCATAGCACCTGTGAAATAACCAGTAGTCTCAAAGCTTTCTGTATGTTTCAGGGGGCTTTTTGTCTGTTTTTGCTTTAAGAGTACAAGTGAATAATTCTTCTACTTGCCACAACTTTTTTTCTCTTCTAGACTACATCTATGAAAATGAAGCAAAAATCTCTGATAAATGTACTCCTCCTTTGTTAACATTTACAGTAGTTCTTAAGTAGCAACTGCTCTGGATTATTTTTAGCACAATCTACAATAAACAGCAATCCATATAGTCATAACATGAATGAGACAGTGTGCAAGATGTACAATTTCATATTAGCAGATACAACGTATTATTACAAGTTCAGAGAATAAACATCTATTTTGCCTCAGAATTGAATAAAATTTTATTTGTAAAAATTATATATCTGGTAAATCACTGGTGATTTATTAGTTTCTATCATTGGTTCCTGGGTGGTGATGAATTATCTGGATTTTATTGTATTAGTCAAGGCTCAAAAAATGTGTCATTCTGCTCTTGCCTTCTGGAATCCTGAATTCAGTGCAGAGAATTTAGTGCTTATTGGTGCTGAAGAGAAATTACAGAGGTGGAATGAAGTGCCTGCAGAAATTTGACTGTTCCATCTTTAAGGAATCTCAGGTAGAATCAAAAAACAGTCAAGCAACTCTGTGAGGTGATGCAATGACAGAAGAGTATAGGTCCTCTTTGGTGAGCAGAGAAGTAAATGTATTGTTATGTAGCTAAAAAAAAAATCTCAAGCATTTTTGTTAGCAACAATCTCAGTTAGAAGTTCATAAAAAATCTACTTTTTTTTTTTCTACTTTGTATAACTGCATACATTTGACAAACTGAGAGAAGTGACTAGCCAGCCTGAAGGCATCCATTTGATCTTTCTTTCCTTTGAAAATGAGACAGCAGCTTACCTCTGCAGAGACTGCTATATTTGTTTCACACCATATGAAATCAAGGGAGACGTATGATTTGTTGACATATTCAATGGTATTAAAGTTTCATAACTAATCTCAACTTTGAATTCATAGTTGTATCCAGAGGCATCCCTAAGAGGTTAATTGAACTTAAATAATTTCTTCCTTCTTCCAAATTTTGTCACTAGGAGGCTTTGCCTTTTGAAAGAATAGGCAACTGTAAAATAGACAAAAGCATACTTCTATTAAGGATTATCTATTCCTGATTATTCCTCTAGTCATTCTGGTATTCTAATGATTTAATGTGAAAACATGTGAAAGCACAATATTAAAACCACCTCTACAGACTTTTTTTCTATGAGATCTGTTTTGTGGAAACAATTTTCAAAATTTACCACTCTGTAACAGTCCTTTCAATAAGGAAATAATCTGTCTACTCAAACACCATTTTCTGCATTCTTTGCCAGGACTGATGTAGTTCCCTCTGTTCTCCAAAAAGACACTGACCTCTCATCTTTTGCTGTGAAAGCTGCTCTGAAGAAAAATGTGGTTGCTGAGGAAATAAATCTTGAGGAAATCAGTGCTGAAAGAACAGGAATTTTCTGCTGCCAAGGTAGATGTTAAATCCTGTGTGTAGTGTGTAGCATGTGCTCTTTTTAACATGAGTCATGTGGTATGTTATTGTTGGTTGTGGATAGTCTTTTAAAAAGAAAACCAACAAAACAGACAAAAAAAAGTGTAAGACTTCAGCAATCAGTGCAGCCGTGCCAGGTTTACCAGTGAAGAAAAGTGAAAGATTATGTGTTTAAAAACTACAAGTACAGAGCTGTTTGTGATTTGGTTCTGATGGCTGGATATCTGCTGATGCTGGTATCTGAAGTCAGAGACTGAATTCTAAAACCCCAATGTGTTACTCCTGGAAAATTGCTCATAAAGATTAATCTCAGTGATTCTAATGATGAGTGGTGTGGCAGCTTCTGCAACAAAACTGTCTTCTGTGAGGAGGTGATAACCTTTGTTCATACGAAGAGCCCTTTCTTATGTTGGGAGAGAGGACACGACTTTCTGCAGATATGACTAAAAAAAATTGTGTGATTATTTCTGAATTGGCGTATGTGACTTTTACAAAGAAAACTGGCTACAGACTCTTCATGTGACTTCTTAGTTCTTATTAAGAGTGCCTCCAAAGCTGATTTTTGGGCTGCTGACAATTGCTTTTGGGACATGTGCTGGAAATGGAAAAGTTGTGGGTAACTGCACGCCTTCTTGAACTTAATCCTTGTACAGCAGAGGACAGAAACTCATGTGTAGAAGTTAGTACCCTGCTATATAGATCCTCTTGCTTTTTTGTGATTTAAAATGGCATCTTGCTGTTGGTCCTCTGCCAGCAGGTAAACTCAAAGAGCCTTGGGTGGAATCTACCTCAATTCTCTTCCTAGAATTGATGTTGCTGCCAACCATTTGCAAATATCTCAGCCTATTATCTCAATTCATATGCAGGTCATATTTGAAGATGATCTTCTTTGTTTGTATGGATTAGAAGCTAAATTAACTCACTTTTCTAAAAAAAAAAATTATATTCTTCTGAAAACAGGAATTTTCTGCTCAGTATAATTATTATCTTCTCCTAGACTAACGAGCTTTTCTGATCCATATTGAGAGTATAACTGGTGGTGATGCAAGCTATTCACTGGAAATGCAGAATATGTTGAGGGAAAAGAGATATGACTAAACTTGCAAACCTGATTGCAGGAACACGCAGAGCCAAGAGTTATTATCTGATGACTGTCATTGGCCACGGTGTGCAGGGCCTGGTCAAGTCACTGGGACCCTTCAATATGTTGAAATGTTCTGGCTTTCTACGTCAGTGTCTAACAATGACAAACATCAGGTGTTTTAGCTGCAAGAAGCAAAGACTGGGGTAGCTATGTAATTCTCTGTAAGAAAGAAATCTTATCTGTTGTTAAATTGATCGAAATCAATGGGAAGAATTTTACAAAGCAAACTCATAAGTGATTTGTTATTTGTTGTTTCTTGCTATTTTTTTCTATGATCCTGAATTTGGTCTGCATTGTTTTATTTTTTGACATCTGATGTGCAGATATTTCTCAGCTGTATATCTAGGATATGTAATTTCAGTAAATGGATTTCCACACTGCTTTTATTTCAACATTATCTGCAATTCAGCACTTTCCACAAATGGAAGGCTGTTATTCTAGCCAGTATTCTAGCCTTTCAAGCGGAACCAAATCAAACATGAGGAAAGTTTGGCATAGTGAGAAAGCTGGTTCTGTACTTAAATAATGCATTGGTACAGATGCAACTTTTCATCAAAAGAAGGAAAATTTGAGTTTTAATTGTTAGAACTTGTTTTAGCAGCTTTTGCTATTACATTTTAGCGTTTTTAATTTATAGAATGCTTACTACACAGAATTAAAGATGCAGAGGGAATATTTTAGAATACTCTACTGCTTTTTTCTGCTGCAGCATTCAGAACCATATTTGTTACACTATTACAGCATCCTCTTTCAGGTAGGAGAATGTGCACAAAGGCATGTGAAAATGTGACTTTGTGCTGTTTCTGTTTTTCTGGTGCCTTCTCTCATTCTCTCTGAGATTCTCTTCATCTTGTTCCAGATCATGTCTATACGGTGTCCCATCACGGAGGCTAGATACAGAGGCATATCCTCTCTGATCTTGAAGATGCTTTCTGAGTTATAATATTGGTACAAGAAATGTGTGAGGGAACAGATGCTAGCCAGAGGGACCTGGAAAGACTTGAGATGTGGGCCCATGCCAACTTCTTCAAGTTCAAGAAGACAGAGTGCAAGGTCCTGCACCTGGGTCGGGACAATCCTAAATACAGATACAGGTTGAACAGAGAATGGCTTGAGAGCGGCCCTGAGGGGAAGGATTTGAGGATGCTGGTTGACGGAAGAGGCAATGTGGGCTGGCTATGTGTGCTTGCAGCCCAGAAGGCCAACTGTGTCCTGGGTCACATCAAGAAAAGTGTGACCTGCATGTCAGAGGATGTGATTTGCCCCTCTACTCCACTCTCATAAGACTCCACCTGGAGTATTGCATCCAGTTCTGGGGCCTCCAGCACAAACGGGACACTGAATTGTTGGAGCAGGTCCAGAGGAGGGCTGTGGTGATGATCAGAGGGAGGGAGAACCTCCCCTCTGAGGACAGGCTGAAAGAGCTGGGACTCCTCAGCCTTGAGAAGAAAAGACTCCATGGAGATCTTATAGTAGCCTACCAGTACCTGAAGGGAGTCTACATGAAAACTGGGGATGGACTTTTGAAAGGGCAAGTAGTGACAGGACAGGGGGAAATGGTTTTAAACAAAGAGGGTAGATTTAAACTAGATATTAGGAAGAAATTCTTTACCGTGATTTTGGTGAGACACTTGAACAGGTTGCCTAGCAAAGTTGTGGATGACCCCTCCCTAGAGCATTCAAAGTCAGGCTGGATGGGTTTTTGAGCAACCTGATCTAGTGGCAGCCTATAGCAGGGGATTGGAACTAGCTGATCATAAAGATCCCTTCCAACCCAAACCATTCTATGAATTCATTCAGGAGTAAGTTGTTCATAGCACATTTTCTCTGTACAGAGGTACATCTCTGTCAATCTGAGTAAAAGTTCACCAGAGTAAACAAGACAGTGTTGGTCATGTGGGTACAAGAGGTCCGCTGAGAGAAAATGTCTTTTTATTCCAAAGTGAACATGCTTGTTGTGATTCCCTTTGAATAGCATTACTGTCTTATTTTTCAGTTTCACCTCTTCCCCCCATTAATTTTCTTATGAAACAAGCAACTATTACCAAAAGATTCCTTTTCCAGAGACAAATTTATTAACTACAGATTACAGGAACAAAATAATAGAGAAATTTTCAACAGATGTATATAATTGTATTCTGTACGACGAGACACATAGACTTGGTGAAATTCACCATGATTCTTCCCTCTTTTTCTGCCCATTTGAGTTATTTGCCTCTATTTTCCAAAAGTGTTTATGTTGTTGTTGTTTTTTTATTTTTAAACAGAAAATGAACCAAAACTGAAATAACACTGCACAATTTTTCAGTTGAAAATTAAAAGCCCTTGGAGAGAAGTTTTAAAAACTTTTGGCCATGAAGTTTAATGCCTCCCTCAGTATGCTCAAAAAAGGAATCAAGCATAATTATTTTAATTGAATACGTTATTTTTAATTGAACACACGTGAATTGTTTACAAAAATTTGGATACATTCAGAATTGTGAAAATTATGTCTTAAATGTTGGAAAGTCTCATCTGACCTGAAGAACATCAGAGTTCTACAGGCATTATAAACTCCTCATGTTACAGAAGTAAGTTATCTTGGTGTTTTGCAGTAAAGCCTTGCACCACTCTCCCTTGTCATTGTGGCACACAAGCCAGAAGAGAGCAGCTAAATACAAGTGCAGTTGTACTGAGAGTGTTTGAGCTCTCTTCTACAAGTATGTGATGACAAAGCAAGCTGATGCGCAGGAAAATATGAGATGTCTTCAGGGTAGTTCTTCCTCTGTAAGGAGGACCTGGAGGCCTTACTGGCATATCAACCACATGGAAGTCATTTCAGTCACCCTGGATATGTTCAAGACCAGATTGGATGGGGATTTGAGCAACTTAATCTAGTGGAAGGTGTTCTTGTCCATGGCAAGGGAGTTATAACAAGGTGATCTCTAAGTCCCTTCCAACCAAACCCAAATCATTCTATGATCAACATGCTTAAAAGTATTATGGCTGTTGTGATTTTGGCACATTTTTCACAGAGCACATCTGTGTGGCTAACTTATTCAGTCTAAAAGAAGAGAAAAAAGAGGAAGAAAGGGAAACAGTTCTTCCTTTGGAAATTTTACTTAGAAATGAATTTTTTTTTTAAATTTGGTATAGTTTTCTTATTAAAATTTATTTTCTTTTTATTTCAAATTTAAAAGATTCTGGAAATAAAATAAGTGATTTAGGTCAGCTATAAACTAAGTCTGACTTCTGGTTGTTGCATTTACGTTTCTTATGTACGAAATACGCAAACAGTTGTGGATTTATTTTTTGTTTTCTGGCAAACTGAAGAATCTGTGGGCAGCACCTAACAACAAAAGAGATAAGCAGTGTAGAAAGAGCCACAGTAAAAGTAGGTTCTAATGCTAATAGCAGAGGCTGACTGTTCTGCACCAAGGAGTCACCTTTGGTTTTACAAGGTCTTCAGAAGGGAAATGCTTATATAGTGTAAACTCTGTGCTTTGATTTCAGTGTGGTGCTGGTTATATACACTCTGAAAATGCTGCCCAAGGTCAGTAACAATATTGACAGAATGAGCACTCATTCAAAGTAAACATCAAAGACAAGTTAGCATTGCAGGCACAGTAATATTTAACACAAACAGTTAACAATATGGGTTGGTTTTTTGTTTTTTGTTTTTTGTTTTTTTTTTAAAGAGGAACTTAAACCTTATCCATTCACACAGACTTGCTGTATGTTCAGGTATGTAACAATTATTGCGACTGATATTTTGAGGAAGATTTTCATGGACACAAGGAAGTATATGTTAGTCTTTGTGGATTCTGTGGTGTGGTTGATTTATTTGATTCTTTCTCAGCTTAAATATAGCATGTTAAAAAAAAAAAAAAAGATATATTTGAAATTTGTATAGTGTACACTGAAAGTAGTTTGTGTAAGCTATTTATTTGCTGTGATGGTAATAGCACATACTTAACTACCAGCACAGAGTTGAGATTGATGATATTCTAATGGAATATTTTTCCCGTCTAAGCAAGAATAAATATGCTGCTCTGAAACAGAGCAGAAATTCTCCAAGTGTTAATAAATTTATTGTTGGTTTTTTTAATTATTATTATTATCACTTTTTTTTTTTTTAGGATGATTTGGATTTATCAGACTTTTTATTTCATTTTCTTACTTGCTTCAGTTTACAGTGGTAAGTCAATATATAATTCCTAAGACTGGTATAGATTAACACAGGTCTTCTAGGAAGGAGCAGTTAAAAAGAGTAATATTCAAAATGACCTGAATATGTATTTGTATGCGGAGTGAAGTGGGTAGAGCAGCATGATTTTGGAAGGGGGACACTTCCATTTGTACATGCAACCTGGTCCCAAGAGAGCGGGGTTGCACTCTGTTAAGTCTGGGTAACTCATAGGTGGGTGGAAGTTTTTAATTAATTCTTTGATTCCTATTATTAGGGATGGAAGTTTTTAATAGTTCTTTTTTTGGTGCTGAAGCCTGCAATGACTGTGTTTTTCAATGTCAGTATGTGTTAATGGTTTACTTTGGCTAGCAGAAGTCAGCTACAAAAACTCACATTCCATTTCCCTGAAATTCCCTCTGCCAAAGGATCATAACCAATGCCTAACAGAGTTTATGTTTAGCAATGTATTAACCATTCTCAGTGGACAATGAGGTAATTAAGGCATTTTGTTGTTCTTTTTTTAAAGCAAAATCTGTTTGACAATTGTACTATTATTTCAGAAATATTTTACCTGGATAGAAATTTCAGTAGACTAAAATCTTAGAAAATTTCTGAGGCTCCAGATATTTTTCAAGTTCAAATTTCATATTAATAAAATATTAACTTAAAAAAAAAAAACCTAGCAAATTTTACAAACATTCCCAATAGTTCCTTATTTTGTCATTTTTTTGTTGATATAGTTTACCTTTTTGCAGGAGACACTGAATTTCTTAGTATAGATTATAAGCGTATTTACTAATAAAATCCACTTGTAATATTTTAAAATTGTAAAACCCAATCTGATTTTTGCATTTGTTTTAATCTTAGGTAGCTTTTGATACAGTATGGTATCTTCATAATGATGGACTAGGAAGTTAGATTAAATCTTTTCAGTGGGATTTCTTCTCAGTCTGTAAAAATAGAATGTTTCTTCTTCATCTTTTAGCTCAGAAGGAGAACTTCTATAGACCCAATAATAAAAATTAGTGTATTTTCTGCCAGCAGAGAGGGACAAATACAAGAAGTGTATGGGCTCCTCTGTGAAGCCAGTTCTCTTGTGCTTTAACGTGGAAATCTGAATAATTCCATGGTTTAGAAAGATGGGATGTGGTTGCCAATTAGATATCTTCATATCACTGACAAGGCCATGCAATGTGAATAGATTTGATTACAGAGAATTCTGCATGGGATTGACAATAAATTCCTGCAGATACAAGGTGGTAATCCAACATATTTTGGTTCTGGATAATTCCTGAGATACTGCTCTTGTCGCACTCTATGTATATATATATAATTTTTGGGGGGGGTCATGTACCAAGTTGGACAGGGTTCAAGATGACTTGAAAGGTAGGAAGTTTATAAAATGCTGAGAACCACTGAAGTTGTTTCACACATGGCACCAGCTAGGAATTTGGACTGAGAGAATCCCTCAACAATTGGACAACAATTGGACACCCACCCTCACATATTTTCTAACTCTTTTTGCCATATTACAACCTTCTCTTGATTTTTCTCTTAATGGCTCCCTGTACCAGTCTCCCTTTGAAAATTCTTCTGCTCCTGAGATCTGCTGTGAAGGTTCCTCACTTTATGGCCTATTCCTATACCTTAGGGCATCTGCCACCACTTAAGTTGTATTCTTACAGCCTTGAGCATGGAGCGAGGGATACCAGAGGGTTTCTGTTTTACCAGACTGTAGAGCAGGGATGATACGCTCAGAGGAACTGTGATACTCACCCCACTTACTTTTCTTCTCTTGCCAAAGCACAGTAAATAAGGGGCAATGTCTTCACCCTCTCCTAATGAACTGTCCACACCCGCATCTTCAATAATTCGCTCGTTTTGTCATTTCATATCAGAATGTGTGACACAGATCTATGAAAATACTTACTTCCAAGGAGGAGACCTCATTACGGTTTTCACACCAAGTGCCAATTACTGTCAAATAGTTTGTACTTACCATCCTACCTGCCTGCTCTTCACATATTTGCCGGTGACGTGGACTAAAGATCCTGCACAGAGGTAAAATGTTCATATTCTTGTGGCTTTTTGCTGTGATAATTTTAGGAACTTGGTAATATTCTGACAAAACTTGGGCATGCGCAGGTTACAGGGATGCTTTGGAAGACTATGTCATGTATCTTTAAAACTGATGACATAAAAGGATATTTACTATACTTTGAAATATACTTTAAATTTGGCAACATCTAATCTTTCATACTTGCTTACCAACACCTCCAAGGAAATAGCACCAACTGTGCATTCCTTCCTCCATTGCACTTACTTATTTTTGAGAAACTAAGTAGCCAATTTCATGTTTCCATTTGCCACTTCTTTTGCCTGTCATCCCATCCACTCTCTTTAGCATATTTTTCTCTCTATTAAGTGATTAGGAATTCCAATAGCCTGAGGTAAGGCTGCCTTCTCTCTCTGTGCCTTTTGTGTTTCTGTCTCCAAACTGTATTGGTCCCACACACACCATGTATGCTCATCTATCACCAAGCATACTAGTACCAACTTTGTCTTTATTTAAACTCAACTTGTTTTCATTTTCACGTTGAAGAATAATGTACAGCCTGTGTTTTACTTGAGAAACAATGAGGGAGTACTATGTAATACTGCAAAACTGTAAATCACTCCTTTTTAAAATAGGTTCTCCTGCTACTTAAAAGACAGTGATACTGAAATGCTACCAAAAGTGAAGATGGAAGGAGCTATTTCTGGACATTCTTTAAAACAATGCAACATCAAAATTAGTGGTAAGGTACAGTTATCTGTATGTTTGAATTCTGTGTTCTAACACATTGCAAATGTGATAGAGAATCAGCATCTTGAAAACAGAAACTGAATCAGGAGGTGGCCAAGCAGAGACTTTGCCCAGATGTCTTTTGCCCTATCTCTTTCAAACGTAGCACAGAAATCCTTTGCTGATTTCATGCTTCAATCTCAACTATCCTCCAGTGAAGCTTCCCAGTCAAGGCAAGTCCCTGCTCTCAGGATTTCATTTGCTAGAGGCAAAGGTGGGAGACATTAAACTGATACCTTGAGTTCCAAAGATGAATTTGAAGGGTTAAGTGGATTTTTATGCCAATTTTCAACTGAAGTTATTGACAGATTCGTTGTGTTTGCTTCTGACTGGAACATGTGTTCCAATCATTCAAGTCTTTTGAAATCCCTTTTCTATCTGCTTTCTCTCACATTTATATTTCTGCATAGATTTAGACCAGAATAGTAAGTTTTAATGAGATGTTATTTTTCATATTCTTTAGATAATTTATAAGAGTTACTTTAGAATCATGTGATTGCCACTAAAATAAAAATCTATTTATATGTGTTTAAAATCCCCACCAATGTTTGGCTGACTCATGTGTTCTGTGAAGAGACCCCACTGCCCAAAACCTTCATCCTTTGTAGGGAAAGTATTTCAAACTCCATGTTCATAGTCCTCCCTCTGTGGAGTATAAATTGAATCTTCTGTTTCAAATGGGAGATGGCTATAGCTTAAAAGGTGAGATTTGGTATTTTAAACTGGTGTATAAATTTGGAAATAGAATAGTATACATTTTAGTGTTGATCCTGAATTTTTGTATGATTAACCTCACCATGGTCTTGGTGTGGATAAAGATTGTGTCACAGCTTGTTAGTTTTTTTCTCTGACATATTATGCCTATACTTCTGATTTTACTTTTAGTAACTATGTGCAAAATACAGTGTGACCGAAGTGAGCACAGGAAGTGACCCCACATCAGGATAATGGCTGTGTCTTAAAAACTGCTATTGTTTGGGAAGTTCTGGGGGAAAAGAGAGTATGAGAATATTTTTGGACCTTTTCTATTCCTTTTTTTTTCACAGCTTGCAGTCCAGATGTCCACTTAGGATTGGATATGCAAGGAGTAAATTATGACATTAGTATGGCTGACAGCTATCAACAGTGCCAAAAAAGATGCACCAATGACAAGCACTGCCATTTTTTTACATATGCCCGAGGAACATTCCATGATGCAAGCTTTCGGTAAATATGCATTTGATCCCTGTACTTAGATGTACTTAGATCCCTGTGCTTTACACTTAGATGCCTGTACACTAAATCTCAGACCAGTCAGAGGTGAAAGAATTTATTCAAGGAAATGAGTTTTAATTTGACTAGTAATCCTTGCAATGTTTATTCAAGTTTACAGTAAGGAAAATTGAAAACAATTTAAATGTTCTGGAGATATTGAAATGCAAATTGTACTGGCAATTGTGCAATGATATTGCTTTGTAAAATCTTACTCTGATTATTGCTCTGAAAATGGCATCATTAATGCAGTCAGGGGAATTCTTTCATTTGTACTTGGACTATTTTTGAGCTGTCAGCTTGCTTGATTTTACAAAAATGTTATTCAGTTGCATCCATTCCTTATTTGAAGATTTTTCTGGAGGCTGGATATTGCTCTGGCCTATGAGCAAAGCAGGCATTATGGTAGGACTCATGGAAACAGAAGAATAATGTAGACCAAGGAAGATAACCTATTGTCTTACTACTTTCTTTATTCTTTATCACTCAGTGAAAAATGCTTCTTGAAACATACCAGTTTAGGAACTCCAACCAGCATAAGGGTGCTTGATGAGGTTGTGTCTGGATTCTCCTTAAAGCCATGTCAGCTTTCTGAATTAGGTAACTGCTTACAATCTCTGTTGATTCAGTTTAGGTTCAAGTATTATGGACGATGAGATGCAGTCTCTCTGACATGCATAAATGTTTTGTGACATAAAATAATTATAATATAAATTTATTCTTTGAAGTATAGTTAGTACTCTCAGGCACAAAACAGACTTTTTTCCACTCTATTATTCTGTCTTACAAAAGGTTTTGTTTCCTTTGATGATGTGAAGAATTCTTTCATAAGATTAGCCTGATGACTCTTAGCATTTTATCTTTGCATCATAGATACAAAAAAAAAAAAAAAAAAAAAAAAAGACACACAGAATCCCATCTAAGTCAAAGGACAAGAGAAATATAAATCTTTCTAAATTCTGTTAGTATACCAGATATACTTCAAGAGGTTTTTAATGAGGATGTGCAGCTTTGTGATACAACTGACTAATATGAAGGTACAAATTCTGTGTGTTGGTGTTTTTGATAAAAGCAATGTTTGTGTTCATTCTTGTAACCATTACTCAGGAAAAACTCTCCAGAGTTCATGATCAAGCTCTGTGCATTGTATCTTATTTTTAATTATTCAATGAAAATTCAGTTTTATTGAGACTCTTCTAGTCTCACAAGATGAATAATCGTTGCAAAATATTGAAAAAGTGGTTGATTCAGATCCTTACAATGAAGACATTTAAAGAAAAATGAATAGTGAGGAAGAAAAAAGGAAGAAAAATCTTTGTAAAGAGAAGAAAATCTGTTTTTTCTCTCTCCTTCTCCCTTGCTCTCTGAGAAAGAACTGGGAAAAGATTTTTTTCCAAACTGCTTCATTAGATAAGCCAGTAAGACATGTATTTATTGTTTGAAGAAAAATCACAGTAGCCAGGAGCATCCTATTGACAGACTTTGAGAAGAATCAGGGGACTGTAGCATAAGCACAAACAATATGATATTCAAATTTTATAAAGTTAAATCGAAGACCATAGGAGAATTTATCAAAGGCATGTGGTGACATGAAATTAATGATCCATGACAAATAAAGTAAAAATTTCTGAATGCATGTGAAATTCAGTCTTGTTTCTTTTCTTTTTTTTTTTTTTTTTTTTTTTTGTGTGTGTGTGTGTGTGTGTGTGTGTGTGTTTGTTGCAAGATAGGGAAGGATTTAGAGAGAGAAAGGGAGAGAGAGAGAAAGAATAAATCATAAATCATGAGACTATAAAATCCTAGACAATGCTATCAGGTAATGAGATCATTTGTTCAGACAGAGGGATGTGTAATAAATTAGAAAAATCTCAGTGTTATCTTCTGCCTTATTGTGTTCCAAATGCCTGAAATGTGTTTACTTGAATATTGAATATCTTGTTTATTTCTGACTTAGACTGATTAATCCTACATTATTCATGGGCCAGCTTCATCATTTTAAAAATGGATACTAGGCTTCCCTTTCAAAGCCTTTGGAATCACAGCAATACTCTGTACATATCAAAAGCAAAGCTACCAAGAAACTTAGATTCCTTCAATCTAAGAACACCAAATTCATCAGTTTTACGAAATTTCTCTATTTTCTGTTCCTTGTTGTCTTCCTTCTGCTCACTAATGTTGACCATCTAATTGCAGTTTGTTTTCATGAAAATGAGATGTTAAAAAAGGTAGTTCTGTAGCCTTTCTTGTGTCCACTGTCATTAACTTCTCCCCTGAGCAGAACCCAGGCTCCTTTTCTAATCCTAATTCACTGACACTAAATACATACTTGTGTTTTGAGAATGGTTCTTGCTACTTGCCCTTCCATTTTCTGTCTTCGCCCTTCTGCTTTTGTTCTTATGCACTCCTGCTCTTACTTGTCCATAGCAATTTGTCATACATTTTGCCTTTTGCAAAGTTCCTTTCTTGAGGTCACTGAATATTGAACTGGTGATCACTGAAATCATTATTAGTATCCATATACTTGCAGATTCACATTTCTGATTTAAATATCATTTCCTGAAAATGGTATTTGTTCTCCTGAACTCTATTTAGCCCTTAACATGAGATCTTGCCTAATAATTGTCAGAATTAATTGACCTTTATTTTCTGATCTTCTCTTTGCTCTTCCCATTGTGTAATAAATGACCTCTATTGTGGTCTTTTCATGTTTATGGTTTTATTTTTTAATTTTTAAATCACATTGTACTAACAGAAGTCACATTAAGATTTGCTTCTCCATTTTTTTTTTTTTCCCTCTTTTGTAATAAGATGCTCCCAGTTTGTTTCTGTAGCTAACTGGGTGGTGTCAGCTCAGCTACTGTCCTTTCTCAGCTGTAGAGGTTATCTGCTTCCACCAAGTCCAGTCCTATGGTTTCATAATTCTAAGAGTAGTGCTGCATTTTTTCCTCCTTTTTATTGTTGTATAAGTATTTTAACTAGGAATTCAAGTGTATCATCAAAGAGGGCAACACACTCATTTCTGTTAAAATTTCTGTGTTGGTATTTCCTGTGACTTCCATATCCATAGTCTGGTTATGGGAATTACCCTGCCAACCTTCTGTTATTTTTGATCCTGTTATAGGGAAGACTGCATGTTACTCTCACTTACTCTGCCTACTTTTTGAAATAATATTTAGATAAATAAAATTAAGAAAATAATCTGGTATTTTTCTCCTAGTCTTCCTATTATCCTCTTAGGTATACAAGTTTTAATAATTTTAGGCCTTGACAATATTAATAAGTTTTATTTCTAATTATGAATGTATATTTTGATTTCTGTTCCTAATTTAGATCTCCCTCCATATTAGATCAGCAGATTTGTATTCTAGCATGTAATTTGCAATTCTCCCCTGCTCTATCTCTCTATGAGTTTACATACTTCAAAAATGTTTTCAAGAAATAGTTTCTGGTTAAAATGAGATGATGTCTTTCCAGTTTATCAGGCAAAAAGAAGAGAAAATGTAAATTATGGGAATGTATAATCTGTAAACCTTAACTCTCTGGTATAAGATAGAAGCTTTGGAATTTTGATATTCTTTTCTTGTTTTATACAGATTGTCAAATGGACATTTTTGAACATGAAGAATTTTCAGGAATTAATGTTACAAGTTTTTTCACTCCTGACACATTCGTCTGCCAAACTATTTGTACTTATTTTCCAAACTGCTTGTTCTTTACATTCTTCACCAAGGAATGGCGAATAGAATCCCAAAGGTGAATTTGACGACTTTTAACTCTCTGAAAGATATTTATTAAAAACAAAACAAACAAACAAAAAAACAAAAACAAAAAAAAAAAAAAAACAGCCAAACAGAAACAACCCCACAATCTCAGCCTTTTTAATCACCATTTTATTATATTCTTGGAAATCATTGTTAAAGGTTTATTTTCTGCAAAACAGCTTTTTTTTTTTTTTTTTTTTTAACAATTTTTAATGTGTTGCATCTGTACATTTATAATTTCACTTATCCTATGGTATGAGCAGGGATCTTGTACTTCAGCTGCATATTTAGTATTAATCTGAAAAAATATATATGTTCAGTAAGGAGACAACCTTCAGGTTGTTTTGATAACTTAGAGCCGAATTTTATGAAATTGTTAATATGTCTGGTTTCCTCGCAGAATTAGGGTACTTACTTAAAAGCTTTTGAATCAAGTTAACAGGTTTGAAAGTGTTTATTTTTAAAGATCGAACTTCTTTCTTTCATGTTTGGCAGTGAAGAGTCAAAAAGTTACAGTCCCCTGAAAACAGAGGTGGAATGAAGAATAATGCTTCAATGAAATTGAAGTAAAACTGAGATGGCATATATAATCTAAAGTTATCTCTTCCCTGTGTGTATAAATACCATACAATTTTCAGTAGTACATCCGTATGGCATTTCACATAACTACAAAATCCTTCTCAATTAACTTAGTGAACACATTTTCATATGGAATACTTTTATAGATAAAATTTTGGACTTTCCCTTACCTGAAACATAAATGTTAGAATGTAAGAACAAACTCAAAGAACAAATGGCTGTTTTTTGTTTTTTATTATAGAAATCTTTGCCTCCTGAAAACATCAACAAGTGGAATACCAGAGGCACTTACATTACGAGAAAATGCTATTTCAGGTTTTGGTCTCCTAAATTGCAGAAGATACTTTCCTGGTAAACAATAAGTTACAATAAAAATACGACTCTTGAATTAATGAAATGAATAGACCTACTGATGCTTGGAACACACTCATTCTTACAGCCTGCAATTCTCGCACTTATGTGCATATGAATTTTGTGGGAGATGAACTCAATGTCACTTATACTAAAGGACCCAGAGCTTGTCAGCAGGTTTGCACAGACATGATCCGCTGCCAATTTTTTACCTACTTTCCCCTCCAAGAGTCATGCAATGAGGAAAGGTGAGAATTTTTATGGATGGCATCTAGTGTGCGTGTTCTGTATAAGAAGTATAAACTGGATCTTTGTATTTATTTATTGTCAGAAAGTGTGAGTGTCATTTAAGAATGTCCTCAAATGGATCTCCAGTGGAAATACAACATGGGCCAGGAAGAATCTCTGGATACTCACTAAGACTGTGTAAAAAAAAGGCCAGTACTGGTAAGTAAAATTTTCCTTTTAAAGAGATTTTTAGGCATGTTTTGGTACGGGAAACCTAAGCCCTTTGTTTTTCTCTTTTTCTATTTTTTTTCTCTTCTGAATATTGCTTGCATAGAAATTAGGCAGAGGCAGATCATGAAGATAAAGAGTATTCTAAAAAAGTGAACTCTGCACAGCCTGCATAACAGACAGTACCTGTAAACTTTTTTAAACTGGATTTTATTGTTAAAAAAAAAAAAAAGTCATAAACGGATTAGAATGTCTGATGTTCTTTGTTCCTATTTGCAGGGTAGCAGTAGTTACATCTTTTTTTCATGGTCAAATGAAAATTATCTGCTTAGCAGTTTTCAATTATTTCTGTAGTATGTATGCAGCATTCTTCAAGAAATATTAGGATAATTGGAGGGACGGATTCTTCCCCTGGTGAATGGCCATGGCAAGTAAGCTTACACGTGAAGCTATCTCGCCGGAGACACCTCTGTGGGGGCTCTATCATAAGTAACCAGTGGATCCTTACAGCTGCCCACTGTTTTGTGAGGTGAGTCCTAAATGTAAATTTACACGTAAAAATTGCATCCAAGATCTGCAACTAGTTGAGGTTCACCTTTCAGAAAGATAAGTCTGTGTGATTAAAATAGCTAGAACAGAATCAACTATTTTGATATAATCAGAAGGTGAAATTTTAAGGTTGTCTGTTCATACTCTTGATGTAATTGGCCCTCCACACTTTGCCCTTTGTAGCATAGTGCTGTGCTACTGATTATTTAACGCATCTAAAGTAGATGATAGGTACCTACAAGAGTGTAAACTTTCTCATGCAACATGAACTTTTTCTTACTGTGATATCATATTATCAAGGAAAATCTGTTGTTAAGTTAGTCATTCAAAAAATATGAAATGGAATACATCAGAGATTCCTCTGTGGTACTTAAGGAATGGTACCAATCTGACAGGGTGTTCGGCAAAGGCCTGGACACAAGGTAAATCTCTAAGGGGTCCAATTAGACTGACTCTTGAATGTGCACTACCTTTCTCTGTAACAATCAAATCCTAATAGGACTGGTTTTCATTTAATATTCTTTATTTTCTAATGCTATCAACTACCCAATTAACACACTGTTTTGATACAGATTTCAGCCCTGGAAATAATATCTAGACTTCCGAGTACTCAAAGCTTTGCTAATTTGCATGGATGTATACATGGAAATGGACTATATATCACATGGATATATAGTAGGTACTGTTAATGACCACAAAATTGCTATCACATTTAAGTTGTGAAATCATGTGTGTTGTGAAGAGCTGTTTTAAGGATCTTGCACATGATTTACATCCTCGCTAGATGATCATACCCTGTAAAGCAGGTAGGCCTGACATTTACAGACTGAAAATTGTAAGGCTGTTGGTTGAGTCAGTGTAATGTCAGAATGGCACAGGTAGTATAAAATGCTTTAAAGAATAAAAAATTATCGAGGCTAAAATCAGAAGCTTTTATGCAAGCATTTTTGTACATTATCCCTTATTGTTTCAGCTTAATGAAATATTGTCAAAGCCAGTTGACAAACCTTATAAAAGCGGATAAACCCCACTTAAGACTCAGAAAAATCCATTATAGGGAATATCATTCTCTACCTTCAATCCAGTATTGTAGAGTTACCAGCATTTTAAAGGACAAAAGGAGGACTTGTCTAAAGAGTAAAAAAGTGTAGACTGTGTTCATTAGAAATGACTAAGGTCAACTGATATTTACAAATATACACACAAAATGTTCAAAACAATTTTTTAAATATTGAAGGTAGGTTTTGCAGCTTCTTTGATGTATGTATCAAAAATTTTAGGTTGCCCTAATAGTAGAGCACCACAATGAAATAACCCTTAAATGGACTCAAAGAAAAGTTAAAATTATAAATATTAAGTGGAATGTTTTATATTGGTCTGAGGTATTGTATTTTCTATTTTCTTTTATTTTGGTGTCTTCTAATTCTACTTGAGTTTGTTTTTCCACCTCTGTTTTGGTTACTACAGATGTTGTACTGGAATGAGAATGGAAAGAATCTCTTTTACTTCCTCAGGATTTGTGTTAGACTCTTGAAGATAAAAATAGTAAGAGCAGAGTGAAACAGAAAATGAAAAAAGGCAGAAGGGGAAATTGGGTTAAAAAGGGTCAGAACAAGAGTCTGACTGTAAGGGAGAGGAAAGACTGGTGTGGTGCTGAAAATATAGATAAAAAGAGGAAGAAAATAAATGAAAAGTGGGAGGAATGGATAAGAGAAATCTGTTTTTAGGTTTGAGAATGTGAAAATACGACTGGGAAGAGTAACCTCAGTGCTGTTCACTGTACACTCAGAGGGTGCTGGCACTTGCACCAAACTAAAACAGTGCAAATCTCTGTCTTTTTCCCTCAGTGTTCAGAACCCCAACATTTGGCGTGTTTATGCTGGTGTTTTAAAACAATCAGAAATAAATGAAGATACACCTTTCTTCAGAGTGGAAGAGATTATTATTCATCCTCAGTATAACTCTGCGCAGACTGGATATGACATTGCTTTATTGAAACTTGATAAGGCTATGAATTTTACTGGTATGTATTCTATCTCGGGAGGAAATTTTTCAGAATGATAAAGGCTGTTTTTTTGCATGACAGTTCGTGAAACTTGGGTTGTCATCTTTTAATCTGTAATCACTTGGTTTTAAGGAAAATCTCATTTTGTCGGCTTTTTAAAGATAATTTGGGGCTTTTATTTATGTGACAAGGGCAGTATCTAGTAAAATGTACAAAGAATAACATGGAGGATATCAGGTATTATGTAGGTGCCCAAAAAACCTTAATATTTTATTTCTTCCTACTGGCCAAACTAATATTTTTAATCATATTTTAGATCTTCAACTTCCTATTTGCCTGCCATCAAAAGAAGAGGCTAGTATGCTCTATACTGACTGCTGGGTAATTGGATGGGGTTACAGGAAGGAAAGAGGTACAGATAAATATTTAAACTGTGACTTCTTGTATTTGTAAAATGCATTGTGTTAAAAGAAAATATCCTCAAATGCCTTCTTAACTCTTAACCAGGAATGGTGTTTACAGACTATGCAAAGAATGTGCATTTGCTCATATCGTTATTTATATGAATTCAAAGCAGTAATAGAATCATAGAACCACCGAGGTTTGAAAAGGATCAATCTAGTCCAACCTTCAGGATCATCCAGTCCAACCTTCCACCTATCATCAAGATATAAGCCAGGATGTCATTAGCTTTCTTGGTCATCTGAGCATACTGCTGGCTGATGTTCAGCTGAGCGTTGAATAATACCATCAGGTCTGTTTCTTTCACACTCTCTTTTAGCCATTCTGACCCAAGCCTCTAGTGTGGTCTGGGGTTTTTATGACCAAAGTTCAGGAACTGGCACTTATCTTGATCTTCAATCCATTGGCCTCTGCCCAGCTATCCAGATTGTCCAGATTGCTTTGTAGGACCTTCCTACCCCAAGACACAACAGAACTTCCTCTCAATTTGATGTCTTCTGCAAACTTACTATGGGTGCACTCATTCCCCTCATCCCAATCATCATTAAAGATAACAAACAGGACAGGTCCAAGTACTGACCCCTGGGGACCACCAGGCATGACTGGTCACCAGCTGGATTCATCTCCATTCATCACCACTTTCTGGGCCTGGTAATCCAGCCAGTTCTTTACCTAGCAAAGAGCTTATCTGCCCAAGCCACAGGCTGCCAGCTTCTTAGGAGAATACTGTGGGAGACAATGTTGAATTCATCAGAGTCAATGGGCATGAATATAATCATTCCTATAGATGGATTCTCTACATTCTTTCCTGCTTTCTTGCTCCAGGTAGATGAATGCAAGTTGCCTAGTTAAACATCACCATGTACCATCCCAAATATACTTTGAGTTATGTAATGATATGTTACAGATACAGATAATAGACTAATTGCTGTACAGTTGGATCTTGAATTGCAGTCTGCACATAACTTGTTTTTTTAAATATGTTATTTTGTTCATATGACTTCACTTCAGAAATCGGAGATCAATGCATATTGCTTTCATGATTCTAAAGGTTGTTTATGATAAGTATCAATGACCTTTGTGTTTTAATAGTAGGTGTGATTTGAACTCTGATCTTACCCAGAAGTTGGCCAACTAACTGTTAATTATTAAACTCTATTACATTGCATATATAGATGAATCTGTTTAGAGTTTCCTTCTCTGCACACTTCCCCATTTGAGAGTTAGAGATTAATGCGAAATCTAACAGAATTCTAATTTCTTCTATTCATTTGTCAGAAAAGACTGCTCTCTACTACTTTTATTTACTTTACATGAAATTTTCACTACCCTGTAGACAACTGGGGTATTGGGCAGCACACATCTGGAAATTGTATTGCTTCAATTGTATTGCAACACATTACTAAGAAACAATTATCAGTAAAACAAAGCAACGCTCTTCATGGGAATACAGGCTCCAAGACTCAATGCCCACAGCAAATCACTGGGGAGTTTTGAAACATTCTTGGTCATAAGTCATACTGTGTTTTCACAACATTCTAAAAAACCCAGACAAGCAACACTGTTTAAAAAATGAAAACAAATGTCATGGCTGTTTAACTGCACACTAAAAGCAATGAACTCTGACTTTTTAGTATCACCGAATGGGGACTTTTAGAGTATAGTTTTAGCTTATACTTTGCTAGAGCTGAACATCTGTCTGATCATAATATGTATTACATAGGTCGTGTAGAAGATATTCTTCAGAAAGTTACTGTTCCACTAATGTCAAAAGAGGAATGCCAGGCAAGATACCGGAAGCGCAGAATCGATGACAAAGAGATCTGTGCTGGCTATGATGAAGGTGGAAAGGATGCCTGTAAGGTAACAGAAAGATGTCATATATTGCCATATATTTCAATAATTTGTTTGAATGTATAACTGAATAACATAAATGCTTAATTTTCATAACAAGCATATATTTATAAATAGAACTGTTTTTTAATATGTTACTTTTGCTTGCTGAAAGCACTGACAGTCAACATGTATGTATAGCACCTATTATGCGACATCAAAATCCTTTGGGATAGACTTTCCATATTCTATTGTGTTTACAAATAAAGAATCTCCAAGTGGGGAGAGAGAGAGACACACACACACAGAAATAGAAAGAGCGAGAGAGGCAGGCAAGCATACATTTACATCTCTGCACTCTCCTATTAAGGGGACGAAGTCAACTTCCCTCTGTGAGTTTCAAGTTAAGAGGCAAAATTCATTGGTTTGCTGAGAATTATACAACTTTCCCTTAAAAAACAAAAATGTGAAGAGCATGTAAGGAGATCATAAAGTACAAGTTCCAACTGTCATATGTTTAGGGAGCAGATCAATATTCCTCTGTAGTAGTGGAAAACCAGAGAGAGCGACTATAATATCTCAGATATTATAGACATTTCTCCAGGAACACACATTTCCTCTCTCATGTTTTTATTTCTTGATATGAAATATAGTATGTAAAAGCTTATTTTGAATCATCCACTATCCACAAGCATCCAGAGTGGATAGTGTTAGAAATGAAATATGGAAAGCTATAGACAACATGAGCAGACTGGTCTGTTCATTATTAGAATTGGAAATGTCACAACAGCATGAGGTCAGTGAGCCAAGTTCTCTGCTTGAGTGTAAACTCATGCACTTACTGTTAAATATTTTAAGTCAATTATAATAGACAAAAATAGTCACGTTAATAAGATTAAATTCTCTGCCAAATATAGTATACATTTTAAGCATTTAAGATATGTTCTCTATTAATGTACTGTTATTATGATCACTGCTGAGTGATCATAATAACAGTGCACAAATAAAAATTCTTGGAGCTGGGAAGTAATTTTTTCCTCAATACTAGTTAAGTTTTGTTTGTATGAAACAGCATCAGAACATGGTGATGATGTTACATAACAATGACACACTGTTGTCTCAGCAGCTCATAACAGCTATATTAAAGAACTTTATGTTCAGAAAGATCAATTAGGAATATGAAAAGAAAACAGACATGTGTTTTATCCCAGGGAAGATGGTCAGTCAAACAGGATAATGCATGCATAAAGCTGAGGTTTGCATATCCAAACAAAGACACTGGCAAATTTACTAGTTTTCTTACCTGTACATGTTATGTACATGTTTAATCCTCACTGAGGGTTAAACTGGCAAATATAGATAAATAAAAAAAGTCAACTGAGCAACAACAACAAAAAAAACCAGTAACATTGAACTGTAATTGAACTTACTTGCAATGACTGGAAAGTATTTAGACACCATTCTACCAGATAAACAGAAAAGCTTCTTTGATACTGTGAAAAGCAACTTTAAGTGAGAGTAATTGAACTCTATGCAGTTATTGTGTTGTTGACACTGGATGATGCTGATTTTATCATGGCTTTCTTTGAGAGAGAAATTCTGTTCCTTGTGAAGTCTTTCTGTCCTGTGACACAGGGAGATTCTGGAGGACCACTGTCGTGCAGGCACGAGGAAGTGTGGTATCTGGTGGGCATCACCAGTTGGGGTGAAGGCTGCGCTCGGCCCCGGCAGCCAGGAGTCTACACAAAAGTTGTTGAATTTTCAGACTGGATTTTGGAAAAAACTACGTAACGTGAACATAACTTAATGACTCATAATGTTGTTGTAGAGAAACAACCTTGGGAGCAACAGGAAGATGTTTAATGTAAAAATAAAAAATAAAAAAAATAAAGTTTTAAAATGGTGTTACCTGTTAGTCGAAGCATAAAAGACTTGATTAAAGAAGTAGAAAAGAAAAAATGAATGAACTTTACAATGAATGAATTAAAATCAGTAGCAAACTTTCAGACTTTCTGATCACTGATTTGTCAGAAAATATTATACATCTGAGCCATTGACTTCTTCTTTCATCTCCAGCATAAAATATTCTATGAGACGTGTTTAAGGAGATTGGGGATTTTTTGCTTACTTCAGTGATGACAGGACATCCTCATCTTCTGTACATGTAACTGACATTAACAGTGATTAAGAGAAAGTATTAAAAGGCCAGGAAAATCTGGCATCTAGTCCAAAAGCTCATTGATGACAGACTACAACTGACATTATAATCCTCTTGATTAAATAAACTGTCTCAGCTACAGAATAATATTCTTGATTTTTACCTTGATAATAACTTTTCCCTTTTTGATTTTCTCTTTTTTTTCTTTTGTTCTTTCTACTCATCTACTTGTTACTGTCAGTTAACACAAATGTTTTGTAGCCAAAAAAAATACTAATGTAAGAAGCAGCAGTCAAAGTAGTAAGAAGTTTTCCAGAAGTATTTCTGGATCAGAAGGGAACACACATTTTTCTTTTGCTTTTGTCTTTGCTAAACTTGTTTCCTAATACTCTACATTGCCTTAATTGCTGAAAATATGTTCCAGAATTCTGCTTATGATTGCCTCACAGCCACACTGAGTGTGTTGTTGAGGTCTATACTGGCAGTGTCCTTAGGAGTAAATGCAGTAATTAAATAAAATATGTCAAATTTATGGAAAAATACTCAACAAGCTACCATAAATGAGTTCAACATTTATTTTTTTAAAGCATTATTTGCAACTATCACCAAGGAAAAATGAAATTCCACAACTACAAGGTTACGAACAACTGCACAAATTCTTAACCCTACTAAGAGCCCCTGTCATGAGTGAGCTCTCTTGGTGTTCTAGATCCCTGCTTTGAGAACCTTTGTGCTGGCTGCAGCTGTTCAGAGGCCCAAAAGGCAAAGGTGGGAGACACACATTAAAACAACAAAATGCAGGTGTAAAATGCGAGATAAAATTGAAGTTATCTTCATGCTCTGATTAATCCAAACCTGGTTTAAAATATCAGCAATCCTCTGACGTGCTGTCAAAAACTCGTGGACTTAAAAAAGAGGCTGAGAGTGGACAGGAAAAAATAGAAAGCACAAATGCAACACAAGAAGGAGAAATATTTCTGGCATTAAAGTGTAGTTCTATTCTCAAGGGGAATGAATGAAGACTCTGGAGAAGAGCTGCTGAAGAAACAAAGGAAACATGTCACTGTGAAAACAGAGACTAAAATTCTCAAATAAAGTGCCAGCAGTAGACCATCTGCAATATTCATCTGCCAATCCTTGAGCTAAATTCATACTTGCTAAAGAAATATCAGCGCCGAAATGAGAACCTCTAATGCTTTCTTATGATAATAATATAATCAGAATCTGTGTTAATAAGTGTGATCCTGCTTAATCTTTCTGTTATCAGCAGGTAGCTTACAGTAAAAGAGAGGTAGTCTATGGCCTCTTTTTCTCCTTCCTTTTCCTCTCCCTTATTTGGGAAAAATAACTAGGAAAAAAAAGCAACATCTTAAAACTTGTTTTAGTCTCATTAAAGAAAAATCTGGCCTTATACTTCAAATCTTCCCCTTCTTGTGCTATCACAGAACATAAACTTCAGTGCTTTAGTTGTTATTTTGATTAATGGCAAGTGTCTCTGGCGGTGTTTTATATTCTGTTTTGTATTCTACTTTATTTCTACTGAAAATCAATGAAGCACATCATCTCGCTTATACCAGATCAGCAGAAATCTTTTGGAGGAATGTTGGCATTAGTCTGCCCTGAGGCTTTATTCAAATAAGGTCCCTGTTCTGAGAAATTTACAGTCTTGTTCAGGCACAGAGGAGACACTTCATACACACAACGATATTCTGGAGGGCAGTTTGTTCATTGTAAAGTAAAGGAGGCTGTGGAGTTGCTTCAGTGGACTCTTCAGTTTGTAGTCATTTTAATAAGACTGTAAACTAAACAAAACCAGTTTTCCATTAAATTGATGTTGCAATGTGTTTTCCTTCACAGCTGATGCTCTGCCTTATGACTGAGTCTGAAATACATTGTCTTATTCTTGAAGACGTTCAAGAGACATTTAGATGTGATACTAAGGGGCATGCTTTAGTAGAGAAATATTGGTGGTAGGTGGATGGTTGGACTGGGTGATCTTGGAGGAATCCAAAATTCTTATGGTATAAAATGTACAAAATTCATGCTTTTAGAGAGGGAGGGAAGGGAATCATTTGTTATAAGCTTTTTAGTATAAGATTTATTTATTTTGTGAAAAAGAATTGTTCTGACATGATGAAAGCTGCATTGCAGACCTTGAAAAGCAAGGAAGGATCTGGATAGAATGAAATTCATTCACACTGACAATCCTTCCAGTAGAAGAACTGTAAAATTAACATGTGGATACTTATTCCCAGTCTAATTTCCAGTATGTATGAAGGTTTCTTTTTGAAAATTATTATTAACTCATATAATTTGTGAAATATCTGCATTGTAACATAATAATATAAATTTCCACCTTGTATAAAAGGTACCAATAATAGCAGATGTGAATTTTTACATATTTCTAGGCAAGCATTTTTGGGAGCAGTAAATTAATTGCTTTTCCTGCAGTCTTTGTATTGAAAAATGTGTTATAGATATCTATAGGTTTATTAGAGTTATTTAAAGATATGTTATAGTTGCCAAGGTTTATTGAATTTTATAAGAGGTGTTTTTTTTAGTGAAGTTGTGCAGTGGAGATGTGAAAGAGCTATTTTGCATCATGTGGGTAGGAGAGAGGAGAACAGTGGAATACTATGAGGGGGTTGAGAAGAAACAGAAGGAGAAAGGCAAAGATGTGTCAACTTGAGGGCTGTTCCTCTCTTCTGGACTTTCTGGGACCTGACTGCTTTGACAGGTGCCTTGAAGACATAAATCTGTGGGCAGTCACTGAATGCAGCTACTTTTCTGAACTATCTTGTCCTTAGAACTCTGGTGAACAGTTGATAAATTCTGCATACTGGGCATATTGTATGAACCCACATATGCCAAAACTTTGGATTTCAGGGAATCCAAAACTTTAAGATGGGCAAAATAAGGTGATGGGAGCAACTGACATAGCTATAAACATGAAAAAGAAATTGAATAAAGAAAAAGGATGTATACTTCTCTACAGTGAAGTTTTTCTATATGTCTACAGAAATATTAGGATGGCTTTCAACAAGCCTCTGATTTCTTTAATGCCCACAGCATGACCAGCTAATATTTCAGGAAAAGGAGAAATACTTTCATGAATACTAAAATATCTCGAATTTCAAGAGATTAGTCACTAGATGGCACTTTTGCTCTAATTTGCCTTGCATTCAATAGCCATCGTGAAAAAGGAACTTGTTTTAGTATAACTTTTATCTGAGAAAGTGTATATTCAATAGATCTGAGAAAAGATTGTTTAACCTTATGTGCATAGCTGAGAAATAATCATAAATAATTAAATTAGCATCTGTTTTTGTAGATTTCAGAGAGTTCATCACTGGTAAGTATGTTTAGCTACACTTTTCCATGTGACAAAGGTAAGGTTAAGACAACAGCAGAGGAAACAAATCCCTACCTTAGAACTCCACGATCACAAGCACGCACCACAACCATTGAATGTCCCTAGAAAGGCCCTGAACACTTTGGCTCGCTCTTGAGGGTGAGATTTAAAGCCAACTTGGGTACAGTACTGTGGTCTGGGTCTGAGTTAAGGAGCTGGAGGAGAATTCATCTTGAGGAGCTGTAAGAACATGGCCCTGCACATGGTACCCTTGAAGCCAGCTTAGGCTGCACTTTAATAAAGTGTGACTATTTCCTTCCTGCTTAAATTGCTCAGGATTGGACAGGGTGAAATTCTGAGTTGTTTCTCTCCAATGTTTGGTCAGGATGCAACTGAAGTGGACTGTGCATAATAATGTCCCAGCTACTATGGGCTCTTGCGGAGCGATGATAAGTAATATCTTATTATCCTACTACAACTCCATAATCTCCAGGTAGGTGTTGGTCTTCATAAAACTTGCAGCAGTCAAGCAGGTGGAGAGAGATGTGCACCAAAGATTTAGAGAAAGTTATGGATTGAAAAATGGCCTCCATTTACAGCAAGAGACTAAAGCAGTGGGAGGATACAGTCAAGGAACTTCTGTCTCTGTTTACTGCTAGGTTGCAGCATGATATAAGCGGTCCTGTCTTGTGCACACAGGATAGATTGGACAGTCTTCTATCTGCTGGTTTGATCAACATCAGCAATATAAAATCAGGGTTTGTAGTATGAGCGATCTTTCAATCTCGAAACATCATCATCAGAGTTTTTGTTTGTTTATTCTTACTCGTTCTTTAGCTGGTTCAGTCATTCCATTCTTCTGCAAGTACCAGAAATTCATACTAGGAACTTTTTATTACTTTTCTGCAGTTGTTTTTGTTTAGAAATCTCAAATCCAATCAAAATCATAATAAAGCTAAAATAATGAAGAAAAATGCTGAGAAGGTAAAATAGGCAGAAAAATGACTAACATTAAGGTGTGAATAACTTGTGCTAGCTTGTTAAGTGTGACCTTTGGTATCACTATGAAAAAGTTCTGCTCTGTCCCTGGCAGTGCACTTGGTAGTTGCCACCCTGCAACCTGGCTGCAGCTTGGACTAACAGCAGGGCAGAGGGCAATGGCTAAGCCTGACAATTGCTTGGATAGTGAGATAGCACTGTGTAAGGAGTATTTTATTCCTATAATATTACTATTTTCTATGAATTAGACAATTTGGATTTTTAATCTATTAAACGTTAGCTATGTTAGCAGTAAATTTTGAATGGTTTTGATGTGTTCCCTTTTGCCCTTAACAAGGTTTTCAATGTGACATTAAGCAAATGGAAGCTCACCTTAGGTTACAGAGGCATACAAGGAAAAAGTAGCAAACTATCCCAAAGTGGTAACACAGCTTCTTTTTGGAGAATTGTCAGCCATTTATTGAAAGCAAAAAATGTAGTGCTTTTGCAACTCATTCTACTGTTTCTGAGCTCTTATATTATATTACTCTGCATAATACAATAGAAACTCATCTCAGTTGGCTTTCAGTCACTACCTTTCATCACTACCTAATGAAAAAATGTCAGTAACATAAATAACTGATAGCATCCTCAAAAATACAGTTGATATTGACACACAGATTTCATACTTGGTTCATATTGATTGTCTTTTAGTTTTGTACAGGATTTTCTATGTTTGGTATTGCTTCTAAAGCTGCATCTGCTAGATTCGTAGGACTGGAGGGGAAGGTCACCTTTATACATAAAAAGTACAATTCTGTCTCTTGTGGTTGCAGGAAAAAAAGCTGAAAAACATGACCCATGGCCATCCTACAGGGTACAGGCTACCATTAGTATTTGTAAGCAATTTTTTTCTGAACAAAAATCCTCCTGATATTAAAGCTTTTTTTCATTATTTCCAGCAATCTGACTCACAGCTGTCACATGTGTGGGACTGACTGTACTATGTAAACCTTCACACAAGATGAAAGATAAATCTACTGAACTAAAAAATATAAGTCAAATGTTCCAGTAGAACTTAAATCTTTTTTTTTTTTTTTTTTTTTTTTTTTTTTTTTTTTTTTTTTTAAATCTAGTTTATAGATAAAAGGGACTGCAAGAAGTTCAGGTCAGATTTTTCTGAATTTATGTCATTGACACTGGTTTCTCAAAGGTCAATGTGCACTGGTGAAATACTCCAAAACCAAGAGCAGTCTCAGCATACAGGCCACAGAGGGTATGCCAGGACTTGCTGTTTCTTTTCCATTCCATAAGAGATTTTTCTGTATCGGTGTAATCCAGACCATCTGATGCAAATTAATTTATCCTGGGAGAAACAGTTGGAAAAGAGATGGGTAGGGTAATCTTACAATAAATACTGGGACTTGAAATAGCAGCTTATTTGGAACACATCACTTTGTTTCAAGACTACCACTTGTGAAGACCCTCTGCACTTTGGTCTGGTCTGGCTGTGGGGAAGTCTCCAACGTAAACAATAAGAATACTGTTAGATCATTAGGAAATTACAGCAATGTTTTCAGTTGCTATTTCTGTGCTCTGATTGATAGAGAGACCCCCCAGTTGCAGTATTTCAGAGGCACACTTACAACATTGTGATGACCATCTACAATCCGTTAGTGCAAACAAGATTATGGACAGAGAACTCATGCCTCTCAAATGCGTTTTCTGAGCATGAGGGACACCCTTGGTGGAATGACTCATATCTGCCTGGTAAGTGAGACACACATTTTTTCAATAAATTTTTTTAACAGCTTTACTATTTACAGTTGTAAATAGTATTTTATGTTGTCAAAGCAGCCCATTAATTGGTATATGCTTTGATACAAAAAGTTGCTTTATTAAGCATCTAACAAGTGCCATTGGATTTATTCAACCAAAAATCTAGATTACACCCAGTGAATTTAATGAACAGGACTTAGTATGTTTTTAAGAATGTAATCTTTTGGTAGTACTACAGAATAAACTGCCGTTGTGAATGGACTAAGCTTTATTCTTGGGCCAGACATTCTCCTCTTTCTGATAGATTAAAAAATATAGATATGGGCCAGACTTCGATACTGCATAAGCAAAGGTCTTTTTATTAACAACAACACTGTTGCAGTTTTCATTTCTACTTGTAGCACTGTAAAACATTTTAAAGCCACTGGATACATAGTATTGGTGAGGTAAGAATGATGTTTCAGATAGAGATACAGTTATATTTCTTTCCTTAAGCTGGATTGCAGGAGCAAAAGAAACAAGTAAAATTTTTAAAACATCATATGGTAAGTGATTCAACACTGAAATGAATTATTTCTTTGTAGATGAAAGGGAAGTGACAGATGAACACAGAGGTTAAAATAATAGGTTTTACACATGCATGTGTTGGATTCTTTCACAGAAAAAATCTAGTCTGTATATTTATTTTTTAGCAAATTAGGTAAAAAGCAAATTAGGTACAGTAGACTTTAAATATTAAAACCAATTGCTAGCAGTTTACTACACTGCAATGCTGAAATGGTTTGTGGACTTGTGTTCATATGATAAGATCAGTTATGTAAAGTACAGATCTGCCTTTTTGAAGAGTGTTGCTTGTGCATCTTCTTTCTAAAGTGCAATCAATAGGCATTTTTGACTGATTGGGATAATTCTGTTGTCCAGTTTGTTATCGTTCAGTGTATAAAATGTTCTGCGTGAATCAAAGGCTTTTCAAAGCATAGTAGACAGTAAAAAAGATTATGTCAATTTGCAGAAAGTACGCATTCTGCTGTTAGCTATCAAAAGTGCGGACCAATTTTGTTTTGAAGGAATACTTGTTAAATTTATAAGAATGTAAGAAGTAATCTAAAAAATATCTCTGAATAAGCAATAAGTACTCAGAGAGATATCAGTAAAATTAACGTACTTGGTAATTCTTTTAGTTATGGCACTGTAGGAGATTTAGCTGTTGTGTTTTGCAGTTTTTCTGCCTCTTAACATAGAAAGTAAACAGATATGAAACAAAGTGGATTTTTTTAATATTCTTTATTTTTAGAATGTAAACATTTAAAAGGAAAATGAATAATGTTGTGTTCACTATGGATATTTAAAAAGTACAAATTTGTTAGGGATGTTTTTTTCTTAGCATTTGAGCTAAAGTTTTTAAAGTTTTAATTTTTAAGGTCAATGGGCAAATCAAAATTTTGAAAAAATATTTTTTGACTAAATGAATTATTTTTGAAAGTTTGGAAAGTATTCATTAATTTCTCTTGATAAAATGCAGATCAATTTGTACAAAAGCTCTACTTATAAACAAAAAGATTGGAAAGTTCTGATTCCAAAATGATTTTTTAAAACTTTTTACTCTATCTTCTTTCTGGTTGGGGCAATTAGATGGAATAGAACATTCTGCACTTATTAAAACAAACAAGCAAACAAACAAACAAAACCAAAAAATACCCGACTGTTCACTTTTCAAAGTAGGAAATACTTGACATTTCCAGAGTGTCATCCAAACCTTGTTTTTAGTCCACCTTGACAAATTTTTTACTCAGGTGTTTATTTTTCTGGTTGTATCTGTTAGCCTCAAGTGAACATATCTGTCATACCTGTGAACCCTTTAGAGGGTAACAAAAAACCCTGAATTTTCTATCAAAATATGGTTGTTATAGATATAAAAAATTTCTGAATGTGGATTTCTACACTTTTTGTCAAGTAATCTGTTGGAACTGACTATTTCTGTTCAGTGGTGAAACACATTTTGTACTTGCCTTTCCATCAATGGGGCTGGGCTTCTTGTATCTGAGGTGCACAGGACAGAAGGAGCAGACAGTGGTGCTATTGACAGCTGACTTCTAATGAAAGAAAATACAGAAAGCACATTTACCCAGATGATATTGAATCTATATTGTAAGTAAGATTCCCCATGTCAGGTCTCAGTTTTGATTACATATTATTCTTATCTCATTAGTATTAGTCCTAAGCCATAGTGATGTCTAATAAGCTTCTCCTGCACACTATGCAGTTTTAAGAACACAAGTCTAGATAATTAAATTAAATAACAGTTCAATCATCTATGGTTTTATTTATCATCCCGTAGACTCTTAGGACTGACATCCTCTCCTCAGTGACTGCTTATGCATCGTAAGAAATGGTTTTTATAGCAGAAAGGTAAAGAAGACTTTTCCCTATTATATGAGTATACAAGTAAATAGTGCAGCAAAAATCTTTAGGTAAGAGATTAGATACATATAGAATGGGTCCAGAGGAGGGCCATGAAGATAGTCAGAGGGCTGGAGCACCTCCCTTATGAGGACAGGCTGAAAGCGTTGGGAGAAGACTCTGAGGAAACCTAATAGCAGTCTTCCAGTACCTGAAGGGGGCCTACAGGGAAGCTGGGAAGGGACTTTATAAGGGCATGTAGACACAGGACAAAGCGAAATGGCTTTAAATAGAAAGATGGTAAATTTAGACTAGATATTAGAAAGAAATTCTTTACTGTGAGGGTGGTGAAACACTGGAACATGTTGCCAAAAAAGGCTGTGGAGCATTTAGATCCAGGCTGGATGGGGCTTTAAGCAACCTGGTTTAGTGGGAGGTATTCCTGCCTATAGCAGCGGGGTTGGAACTAGATGGTCTTGAAGGTCCCTTCCAACCCAATTAATCTATAACTGCGGAAATAATTATCTGGGATAAACTGAGAGGTTTGAAGACTTCTGACAGAAGGGAAGGAGTTAGATGTATACGTAGGTCATACTCGTGCTAAGCAGGGCATTTAGAAGAACTGACCATCTCACTGCAATTTTAAACCACAGGCAGATTAAAATTTATGGCTCAAGGGAAGATTGATGAAGGAGCTTATGCAAAAATAATGATGAGAAAGGGAAAGGGGATAAACTGAGAAAGCTTAATATTCTTAGGCAATTGAAGCATGAAAATATCTAATAAGTCAAGCAAGAGAAGAAAATGAAGTATTGCTGACTTTTGGACTTTCAACTATTACATAAATATGAGAAAGAACAATACTTTAAAAAGAGTGGAAACACAAAGACCCAGTTCTGTCCATCAGCAATGTATGGCAGTATATATGATTATGTATTAGAAGAAAAATAGAAAGAAGAGTAGCAGTACAATTTATACTTGGTTGACGGATGGTCAAGGTTCAAGGAAGTGCAATAAGGAGCTTTGCAATTTGACTCTGATACTTTTTCAAAGTATATAGATTTCCCAGGGCAAGTTATCTCTGCTGAATGGTAAGAGTAATTAGCCTGGATTCAGCACAGTTCTACTATAAGTATTTGATTCTTTTGTTTGCTTCTTTATTTTGCTTTGGAGCTTGTTCAGAGATTTGGTGCTTTGTGATGCTAAATTGCACTTCATGATCATGCATACAAAGCACAAGATTTACTTGGTTGTCTTTCTCTGCATATGAGCTTGCATAATTATTTATTCAGGCCGAGGTTTGTTTTCTTGTTGAGGTTGTGTTGGCTGAGGGTGCTGCATGTTCTTTTAGTTGAGAGAGCTTTCATTAGCCATTACAATGCATTTAAGTGCAAGAACCATTTTGATGAATTCAGAGAAATGCAAATGAAAGTTGCTCCATAAGAAAGAAAGTTGCTCCATAAAAACAAATTCTTTTATATCACTGACTTTTATATCAGTGGCCTATTACCTGATTGCAGAAGATAAGCTCTATTTTACAAGGGGGTAGGTTTGCAGAACTCTAAAGTAAGTTTTGCAATTATGTGCTTAAGTAAACATTGAATTACCATTCCATCTCCATTGTTGACACAGTGGTAATACAGATGAATTGTAATGCAAAAACTATAGGGTGTTAGCCATATAAATCAAAGTCATTCCAAAAAATGTGTTTGGTTTAACTTTAAATATACTTCCAAGTACCAAAAGATATGTAAAATTCAGATGGATTTTTTCAGAACAAGCAACATCTTCTACGTGCATTAGCTGCTACATCCCTTCTGTCACATGAGACTTGTGGGTGAACAGCAGAAATAAGAACAATTGAAAAAAAATGCCCTGTATGAGTATGGGGTTTTCAGATTGTCCATTTAAGTGTTCTACTTTTACATGAATCCAGAGGATTTATATCTACCAACCATGAGTCAAACTCCCTGCTTGTTTTCAAAATGTTATCGCATGGCACAGGAGCCCAGATGACAGTTCTTAGTGAAATAACTGAATTCTCACTACTTAGTTACCTGTTTCCCCTACAAATCAGTGGAAGCTATAGGCTGTGCAGTTAGCCTCTCTAAATCTTCCCCAGCTACACAGTATAGAAAGCAATCCTTCCACTCTTGAATTCACATTTTATTTGCCAAGTGGGAGATCGTATCTGAAGTACACATGTTCACCTAGAAAGGAGTAGTCATGTTCTTCCATCTACATATACACACAGGGAAAGATAGACTGCATTTCCACTTCACTTCACTGTATATTGCTTCTTGAGTTACTAGGTTTCCTTGTTTGCTAGTGGAAGAAACAGACAATTACACACTTAAAGTAACCATCTTAATCAAATCTTAATTGACAATAATACAAATAAAGCATAAGAAAAAACAGCTTTTTTTCCCCAGTCCGTCTTGATTTCTTTGATGTGTAGACTCTGGAGTTTTTTTGGCTTGAAAGCACCTCACCTCCTGAGCACATTTTTGGAGATATAGAAAGTCCTTGATTATTAGAACCTAGGGTAGAAAAATTACACTTGGATAAGCATGACTTTCAAGGCTTACACTTAATGTGGTGTTTTTTCTATAATCCTGCAGAATGGCAGGCTAAAAATAGGGCAAAAGATTTTTTTGTATCTCAATTCAAAGCAAGAAATAACAGAAATAATGAGTTTAGTTTTAAAATAAACCATTCTTTTCCTGAGTTTGCATTTTGATTAATTTTTATGTTCATATTCACATTTAGGTAACACTAAATACTGGGCTGTGAAAATGGTTAACTGTAGATTACAGTTGTGGTGGGACACATCCTGTGTTCTTAACAGATAGTTTTTTGATTGTACTTAAGCTTAAGATTTATACAAATGAACCTGACAATTCAGGCCTTAGTTCTACAGTCTCAAATTCAGTAGGATTTTATTTCTTTGGCTGAAACTGACTGTTTCATCTCAATATTACTTATCTAAACACCTCAGTCAGTCCCTCTTGGTTGCCCTTATCAGGAAATAGTTTCTTGGAAATACGACAGGAATATCTTTTTATAGTTCTTCACTGGGAAGAGGTCCCTTTCAACCTCAGTGATTCTGTGATTCTATGAAACAACATTGTGATCAGAGCACTCTTCTGGAAACAGGAAACAGAATCCACTTATTGCTAGTGATGAATTGTGCAAAATAGTGTGTCCTATTTCTGTGAGGAAAATCCAAATACAACATGGGAGAAATGTTCTTTTGCTTATTGTAGCTTGTCAGTACAAAGCATCCAGAGTAAGGGAGATGAGACCAGAAGTTTCTTTTCTCTGGTATGAGAAACAAAGGAAATTTTTGTTTCCGTCTTCACCTTCTCTTTATGCATCGTATACAGGGACTGGGTATTGTAAAAAAGTCAAGATTTGTAAGATCATCTAACAGCCATTGTTAGAAAGACAGCTGTACCTGAAAACTTCAGACAGATTTTCAGATATAGCTCTTTTCAAATCTAAAGCAGACACCAAATACCAGTTAAATAGGACCAAATGTCCTGGTTCTAACCATGCTGTGTTAAACTTACACAGTTTAGGGGATACTGATGAGGAATTCAGGTTTGTGAGAGAGAGGGGTGGTTAGTAGAGGTGGGAGAAATTGCTATGGATACAAGAGACAGTTTTTCTTCCAATTGGTGCAATTTAGTTAGAATTTTTTCTCCTATACTTGCCTTAAAAGTGTCAGTAAGTGCTTTTGGAGGTCCAGCTGTGAGGCTCTGGCTTGAGGTCCTGCTTGGCTGTGTAGAACCATTTCTGTGCTACCCCTAGGACTGTGCTGTTGTGACTGGGACTGTGTAGTGAGCAGTGTCAGAGGATACTGCTGAGATGGAAACAAAAAGACAGAGGCAGACAAAAAAGTGGCGATGGTGGAGGGGGCCTGAGTACATTTTAAGTCATGTAAGTGCAGAATTGAGATCTGAGAGGTCAGCAATGGTATGATTGCTGCTTGAAGATTGTTCTTCTGGTAGGCATCTATTACTTTGGTTGCTCCAGTGGGCTGAAACTCTTTGATGCTTATAGTACTTAGTCATTATATAAAACAGATGTATTTTATTTTCTTGAGGGATGCTGGAAGCCAGTCAGGAATCAAAGTATGCATTTCTCATGAAATGTGGGGGTTATGTCAGGTCCTTGGAACTGAGGGAGGAATGCATGTTTTCTATTTTTAGGAAGTTAGTCATGCATTATTGTGACAACAAACACAGTAAAACTGTGTGAATAACTGGTTTTGTCCATTGGCAGATGATCCAAACCTAAAACAATATTCAGATCAACATCTAGTGAAAATTTAACAAGTCTCTTTGGTAATTATGTTACATTTTTATGCTAGTCACATTTAGAAAACATGAAAAAAGAAAGTTGGAAACAAAAGTGTGAGATCCTGAGGTTCTGTTCAGAGAACAGGGAAGAACAGAGACTTGAATGCCTTGGAAGTTCTCTCATGTCATTAGAAAGCATTGGAGAAGGGCTGCCTCACTTTGTCATCTCAAGCATATACTACCTCATAACAAACAAGAGTGTTTCAAGCAGAAGTTAGGAAACCTCATTGAGGCTCTTGCCTGTGGCCTGACCTGCTGCACTTTTATATTCTAATCACAGCGTTTGAATGGATGATAATACCATACTTGGAGCATATGTTATATTTATTCCTAGTGGCTTGCTTACAAGTTTCCAGTCCTAATGAATGAAGTTCACAGAAGTAATGAATATAAAGAAAGGAGGAATTTAGGGAAAGAGGTTTTGAATATTTCTAGTTTTATCCAGGATGTAAAACCCGCTTTATTTGACTCTCCCAGAAAGAAAGAAGCTTCTTGGCTTGTTCTGTAGGTGGCCATAGTGCTACTTGCTATATATTATGGAGGAAAGCAAGAGCGACATTTTGCTGTCAGAGCATGTTTGATATATAATTCATCTCTGACAAGAGATGGCAAAGTACATCATATTCTAGCAGGACTTTTTCTGTCCCCGTGGAAGAGATAAAAATGGTAGGCAATTTTACGGTACACTCTTTTTGCTATATAAGATCTGTATGAAACCCTCTCCATGAAGAACCCTTATGCTGTTTATACAGTTATAGGCATGATACATAAAGGGAATGACAATGAATTTCAGCTCTCTAGATCAGTTTTAAGTATGAATGCTTTATAATTTAAAAAAAAAAAAAAAAAAAAAAAGAAAAGCCAGGAAATACTTTGGCTTAGTGCTAACTTATACTATCAGAAGATGAAATCTTCAAAATACGTTCAGCTTTTAACATACGAGTTGTTGACTTGAATGATAAAAATCCCCTAGCAAATGTAATTAAACTTTAATAATTAATAGGCAGTTTTATTTTTGTAATTTTCCAAACTATGATAAGAAATGTCTATTCTCAGAAAGTTAAGTATATAGAATCTCTTTCAGTACCTGTATTAAACTTGTAATTCACCTCAACTGATTAAGAATATTTATGCAAGAGCAGGACAGCAGGGAATCCGTTTAGGTAAAACACTCCAAATAACTGTATGCTTAAGATTAAGCTGGTATCTAAATGCTTGCTACATCCAGACCAAAGAACATAATGAGATATTTAATGATAATCTTCAGACTAGAACGTGAGAAAGAAGCATTTGATGCAGAATGAAAGAAAGGGGTTATTTTTGCTTTTCTCTTTTCCCTCCTCTCCAGCAGCTCAGTTTTATTCAGTGCAAGTCATCTTGCAGTGCAGGCTGTTCCCTGCAGGATTTGTGGAATTGTGATGCTCATGCTCTGTATCCTGATTAAAAAGCAATAGGGCCACCCAAAGTTAAAGTTAAGGTAGAATCTGAACAGTGGAAGTTATTCTGAAAGAACAGAAGACAAAGGAATAGATAAAGGATAAAGAAGAGATGAGTGAAAAAAAGAATAGAAAAGAGAAAAAAAGTATGGGTCTGTGAGAAAAGAGAAGAAAAGGGGTGCATGTGTATTAATGATTACTCTGGAAGCAAAAGGATAGTTTGTAAAAGATCCCAAGAGAAAATCATTTCTTCAAACCTTCACAGCCAGCACTTTAGTGAAAGTAATCGATGGAGATTTTCTTCCCTTCTTCCCTTTCTTCCTTCCTTTCTGTGTAATATGAATAAGTTATTAATTCTACAGCTGTTTTTATGAGTTTCTGGGGAATTAGAAATGAGCACAGCTTGAAGAACATTATATATACATGATTGCATGGATCTGGCAACAAAGAGAGAATTGTATCTCATGTTCAGAATAATAGTTTTATGCCATAAGATATAGATAATGAAAAGGAATTAAGATGATGATTTAATAGCCTTTAATCCTGGTGATTGAATAAGTGAGGTGATGTCTTGCAAGGCAAGGAATGACAACAGAATATGCTCGCTGTAATTCCTGAATGGATGTAGACACTTCAGTCTTTGATAGCACTTTCATGTTTGTTTTTCCCAAGTTACTGCATTAAATGCTGTAAAGGCAACTAAATAGCAAAGAGCGTTGTAACAAAAAAAAAGTAGAGTTTATCTTGAGAGAGATGAGAAAGATTATGTCTTAGAATATTACACTGGGTAAATGCCCAGTAAAAAGAGGACTGTAATCACTGACTGAGACCTCCATTCAGTGAAAGTTAACAACATAATAAGAAGAAATGCAGATAATTCCTGGTTTTCATTTCTGCAACATAGGGATGGGTTATTCTAGAGAGGCTGAAATAAAAATTCACTGGCAGAATGACTCACTGAGGAGTAACTTTGATGTAAATGTCTTATTCTGATCGTGTCAGAGGTTTATTAAATAAACAAGACCCTGACAAGGAGGAGTGCCAATGACAAATTTTTGATTTGTCTTTTGAAAGACAAATCCTGTATTTTAGTTGGAAATATCCACTACCAAATGGATCTTTTCATTAGTTCAGTTCCCTCAGTGGAAAATTATGAAAAGCAGGATATGAGCATGTGTAAGATCTGTGTATATGTTAACTATCTCACATAAGACTAGCATGGATCCTAATTTCTGTTTTACCACAGTAAAGGAGAAGACAGGTGTATTCCTTCTACATGTAACTGAAAAATGTTCTTAGGCTACCAGTTTTGTCATTAGAGCTCAATTTTCCATTTTATCTCCACATTTTCATATTTTCCCAGACATATTTTGCCTTCCATATTTTGCCAGAGGAGGATCATTTGTTGTGGATAGAATGGTAGTCGTAACCTAAAATTTTCAATGTTGTGTTTGACTTTCAAGAATTAGCAAATTCTTTTTCTTATGAAATGTTCCTAAGTTTCTGCATATTTTCATGCAATGTGTGTTTTGAGGCATGCTACTTACGTAGCATATGTAAATAAAAACTTGTGCATTTTTGTTAATGTTCATGTGTAAGGTTATTTAATGTTTTCTTCTATTTTATCCAGGAGATGCATATACGATTAACTACGTGGAGTGTTCCATATCTCCTCTCAAACAGATCAAAGAGAGGATTGATTTAGGTACAAGTGGCCCAGAGGGAAGAAACAGCTGAGGTGTAGTATCTCTTTGAAGAAATATCACAGACAACAGAATTAACATGGGCAACAAGACACAATTTTTCACTTGTATCATTAACATTGCAGATAAAAATAACTATGCAATTTTGATTTTCAGTTCTCAGTCTGAATTGTTACTGCAGTATGGATGGTATAAAGAAGATAAATCAGGTGACCTTGTTCTTTGTCGTATAATGGTCAAAAACACACTATTTAAGCAAATAAATACTCAAGTTAATTGCATTTTGAAATTAATTGTATCATGTAAGCTAAAGAGAGATTGGTATAAAGCAGACATATTAATTTTGAGATTCTCTTAAGTCACATTTGTTTAGCAGACAGGTTTTTTTCACACAGGATGTGTCCATTTGCTGCACTATCTCAAACAAAGAACAACATCTGAATTTTTTAGAAGGAAATATAAACTCAATAGGGAACATTTATTCCTTTACAAAGTGATTTGGTTGACTCATGCCCTGAAGAATGACGGCTTGTATTAGATAACAGTAATTAGTTATAGCAAGTCATTGTCTTTTAAAAAGAAATATCATTTCTTGCAAGACAGAAACATCCAATAAATAACCAGTCTGAGAGAGGACCTTAAAACAAATCAAGGTCAGATCATGTTATACATTTAGAAAACTTAGTTTATGGAATACAAGTAAAAGATTCTATTTTTTTATCTTAAATGAAAATGTGTATCAGACAGTAATGTAGTTCTTGACACATAAAACTTGGCCCCCACATCAGGAATGTATGTCACAGACAGATTGGATGTTCCATTGTACTGCCACTCCCATTCCACTGGTTGCAGCATTCAATTTTTATGTTCAAATGTCATTATGAAACAGCTATTTGTTTTGAGAAATTACTAATGATGGGCGTATTTTGCTCTCAGTTTTCTAACAGAAACACCGGAGAGTGGGAATGGCAGCAGGATAGGAGATTGTTACAACTGGAGTAATCCTTACTTGCAAATTTCTTCTGCCTTTTGATCTGCCAGCAAGTCCCTCTTCACAGCAGATGTGATTTCCAATATGTTAACAGCAATAGAGATCTCTGCAGAAGTTGAAAATGAGCAGTACTGACACTCTAATCTGTGAAGTGGAAGAGAGATGTCTTGGAAATTTGGGGCCCAAAAGGTACAAATAAAAAGAAACATTGAAAAAATTACAAGAATATCTAATTTACAAGTATGTTTATCAGTATGTAAAATGTATAGTAAATAGAGTTTTGGACAAAGCTCTTGGAACTAAGAAAGACAGATATTTTCTTTTTAGTATCATAGCAACCTACCCACCCAATAAACTCCCCAGCCTGTGTTCTAAGAAGCTCAAGAGTTTGCCAGAACAGCAGAACACCATTTTTATTTTTAGTAGAAAATACAGATCTGTTATTAGCAGCAGCAAAATGCAGTATGTCTTATAGGAACTTTGCAGACAGCCATACACATAACAGTCTGTTTTTAACTTTTACCATGGATACTACTTTTCCTCTTGAAATCAGGATGTTATGCAAAGAACATCTTTCATGATTTGATGCTCCAGGCACAGAGCTGAAGTTGTGTAGATTTCTCCTCCTTCTCCCCTCCTATCTAATGCTTTTTCTTTCCTCTTCATTCTCCAAAAAGAAAAATGAGACTTGATGGAGCATTGAATTTTTGTTGCTTTTTTTTGATAGAAACAGTCTGTTAGGGCCATGGAGAAGATTGCCTAGGACATCCGAAGGCATTATTTTATGCCAGTCATCTGCAAGGTATGGTTTTTAAAATGTTCATAATCAAAAATCTAAGAGCTGGGCACTCCCATTTCAATTCTGATCAATGTATAGTTGCGTAATTATAAAGTAGAATAAAACTGAAAGTTTATTTAAATCACCAAAACCAGCTTTCTTAATGGGAAACGTATTGAAACTAGTTCTCATTCAGAACTGAATGAATGACATCATGGCCAAAACCTTCAACTGATGGAATATTTGATACATATAAATAATGTAAAGCTGCTGTAGAAGGCAGTCTACAGGATTTCTAATACTTCAGCTATTTCTGAAGTACTTCAGGTTTCCTTTTCATAGGGACCCAAAGCAAATTCTCATGGGTTTTATCAAAGAAAAGACAGAATTACTTTTGAAATGCTTCTGAATTCTCATTAAGTTTGAAATACTTGCAAAGGCTGCAACATCTGCAGTCTTTTTTTTTTCCCTAAAGAACAAGTACCACATGCAAGATGGAATATTAATTGATTTTTTTCTTTTATGCATTTTTAGTAATGCAAGTCACTTGAGGAAAAAACTTAATTGCAATGGCACAGCATCCACAGACTCTGAATAGGTGGAGTGTAATGAATGATTAAATGTGAGGTCTCACTACTATGGCAGAAAATTGGACAAACCTAATGATATCAATGACTCTCTCTTTTTTTGCAGATTTCTTATGATTAAATTAAAATGGTGAGCCAAAAATTTCTCCATCATTAAAACCACTTAGGATTTCTTGTTATATGGAAGTTAAACAGAAGTCGTGATTTCAAATCTTTTTCAAGTCCAGTAACCTCCAGAGGGTGGAGCACCCAGACACCTTGAAGCTGATCTATTTGCTGACAACCTGAGAAACAGGAAGCCCTTTGTCTCTAAAAGTCTCCAAGATCCAAAGGGGCTTCTCAATGGATTTGTTAACAGTGTGGCAGGGGTACATGCAGAGAAGAAACTTCAGTGTTTCTGTGGTTTAAAAAACACAGCACATGGTGCTATTTAAGAAACCTGCCCAGTAAAATTGCTGCAAGTCTCGTTGTAAGAAGATTCTGTATGGATTATAGACCCACTCAAAGCTCTTTCATTATAAACATTCTATGGTCCTCAGAAATTTTTGTTCTTGAAAGAACCCACGTTTTTTTTCACTCTGGCCGTATCTCTATCACTGCTTACTCAAATCAGTGTAGCTGAGGTCATTTTGCATTTCTTGTCTGGGGTTGTCAAATTTATTTTCAGCCTTGTCAAGTTCAGTCTTTGCTTTTTTTTCTCTGTGCTAAGGGGACATTTAGTATAAAAGTGCTTCTGTTGGCATTTCTTCTTCTGTCCCCCTTTTGACATATTTTTGTGCCACATATTGCTCCGTGACTGCTCTTGGTTCGTTTTAAACCACAGACTATTTTCTTTCTTCACTGTCTCTCTTACAACCCCTAATGCAACCTTCAGGCTCCCTGTGGAAAAGTAGATATTTATGGTATTTGTTTGCTATTCTTGTTTCATCTGAAGTGAACTCAGAAATTTTATCAGAATACCTTGAAAAATAAATTATGCAATGCTACATACGGATTAGGGAAAAGCATGGTAGTTTCTCTTACCAGCAGTAAAATGCTTCCAGTGGTACACTCTGTATCATAAAAACCATTTCATCAGCTTTGATGACTTTAGAAAAACAAAAGCCAAGCACAGCTTTGAGAAGGATTGAAATCAAAATATTTTCAAGTCATATGCTATGGAATGGGGAATAGATAAATCCCACAAGGGCACAATTTCTTTACTTATTAATCTCATAATTTACTTAAGTTAATAGCTACATATAGTCAAATATTAGTTCTCTCACTGATAAGCAACTCACGATTCAATTTTGTCCTGGGGGCTCACTACCCAGAGTTAAATTGCTGTAGATAAAATCAATCATAGGTAAAATTTGAAATGTCTTTATTGAAAAAAATTCAAAATAAAGATTAGGAAGTAGAATGTATAAAAACTAACTGGAAATTTGTTTCAGTGGTAAAAATTCATGGTACTGATTATAGTAATCACTTTGCTATACCATTGTAAACAGTTTCCATTTGTTCGCAGATCAGTTCACAGATTGATCTGTGGAGTAAAATTACACAGTTCTATGCTTGCTTGTTTCTATGCACTTACTGATTTGTTGTGTATTCACCAGGAAGCCCCCAGCACATCTGTGGCTTTTATAGCATGTTGTGCTAATCAAGGAAGCACTGCTCACTCACCCAAGCTTCTGCCAGGTGCAATGGTTCAGATCTTCAGAATTTGGAATAAGTTCTTCACACAGCCTTTTTCTGTTGGTCTATCATTTTTCATCCTTAACTTGTCTGTATCTGCATGTTTCCTAGATACACACAGGCACATCTCTCAAAAGATGGAGTATGGTCATCCATGAGCTGAACAAAGTTGCATCAAACCATGCTCTGGGAACAGGAGAATTGAGAACCAATTTATGGATGCAGTTTTATTTCATATCTTTGTCAAAAGAAAGGCTATTCAGGCTGAGCACATTTTGCCAAGGTAATTCTGGATTGTCTAGAATTTTTGCACATCTTTCAGCATTATTGAGGGTCAAATACACATCTACTGTATACTGTGGATTCAAATTTTTCTGTGTACATGTTATTGCCAGTACGTAATTAAATGTGTAAATAACAGAAAGCTCCCATCACAATTTTAGATTTGCTTGGAAACATACATGGTCAAGCCAGATACCTTTCTTCTGTTAAAAAAAAACAAAAACAAAAACAAAAACAAAAACAAACAAACAAATGAATTATTGTCTGGTTTAAAATATATGTATTTAGGTTTCCGTGATGAGATCACATTCTTCCTCCCTTCCATTTCATTCTGCACTTCCGTGGAATAAAAATCTGCCAATAATTCCACAGTGAACATCCTAAAATTTCCTCCCTGCTGGAGGGGTGAGTCTCCACAAGTCTCTCCTGGAGTGTTTGAGCCTTGAGATGGAAGGGTTTTCTGTTTTCTTGTCCTGCTTGCTCAGCCCTGCTTGTCCTTCATGTGCAGAATCTCCCCAGGGTCGCTGGCAGTCATTTTGCAGTTTTACAAACTTGGCAATTGACCTTTCTTTCTAACCCAGGGCAAAGACTGCCACAGTTCCACAGGAGATAAAAAGCCATGTGCAGATCCGCATGTTCAAGAGCAGTGTCACTCCTATATTTCTGCTTGCTCAGGGCTCCTCAGTATACAGAGTATATGTATGACAAAACTTTGCTGTTGTTCTGGTCTGTTTATTTCCAGGAATGCAATCCAAAGCGGTGTGAGAACTGATCAGTGCTGCACTTGGCATGAACATAAGGGCACATCTGTATACCTCAAAATTTAGAAAACTGTGGTGAGTAGATGGTCTTCAGATCTCTGGAGCAACACTTTCTCATCCAGAAACAGTCCCACTCCTCAGTTCCATTTCAGCTGTATGGGCTGGTGGCAATCACTGCTTAATTGGAAGGTCACTGTGCCACCAGCCTGTTCTTTGCCATGGCAAAGAGGCAAAGACCCAACCCGCTAATGAAAATGAGGCAGACTGGCCTATACTTGAAGGCAGAAGGTGCTGAGCCAAACATCTTCAATTTCTGAAGAGACAAAGTATACCTTTGCCAAGCTGTTCTCTAGGGAAAGCAATCCACTTGGTATTTGTGGGGAAAACTGCAGTTGTTAAGGCCTATTTCAACAGTGACAACAGTTCAAAGTAGTAGCACTAGCTATTTACATAATAACCTGTGTTACCTGTATTGAAGAATTTTTTAATCTGGATACTGGAAAAGACAAAATGGAGTCTGATTAGCTCTGTTCACAAGACTGAGATCAAATGCTCATCAAGGTATTACAGGTACATTTGATGCTGAATCAAATTAAATCTAGCAGTGGGGTGGTTCTTTGCTTTCTCAGACTAATAACCATGTATTTCTGCTTTGCTTGTCTGAGGGCTATATCTGTGGGTAAATGCCATAAAATAAAATTGCAGTGGTACACTTGTGAAGTGGATATCAATCAATCAGGATAATTAAACCACTATTCTTCATTCTCCCTCATTTTTATTTTTAATTTTTTTTTTTTTTTTTCTTTAGATGGATGTAATTGTATAACTGAGACTGTATAATGTGGAACTTTAGATGTCTATAATGTGTGTCTTAATTTCAGCTGGAACAGAATTGACTTTCTTCAGCATGTCTGAGTAGATACTGTGTTTTGGTTTTAGGAGAAAAACAGTGAAGGAAACACCAGCATTTGTAGTTGTTGCTGAGCAGAGCTGTACAGAGCCAAGAACATACAGTTTTCCCTGCAATCTTGCCAGTGAGGAATAGACCAAAGATGCTGGGAGTGGGGGACTGAGCCAACAACCACATAGAGCTAAACTACCTGTCAACTTAAACCAAAGCACTTCAGAGAAACAAAACCAGCAGCTCCGATGATCAGAACCAAGCAACCCTGGAATGTGCAAGAAGGTTCAAAGGAAGGAAATTAATGGTGGAAAGGCAGTACTCCTGGTAAGAAATTAGCAGCACTTTGATTTCTTGGAGAGAGCTGGAGACTGTTCTGTTTGTGTGGAAAGGAATAGGTTTCCTTGTTATTCTTCACCTTTTGAGCAGGGTTCTGAGTTTTCTTATCTTTGTCCATGCAAACAATTGAATCATGGATTATCGTAGTTAATAGGTATACCATTTCTGGTCACTAGATGGAGGTAGGTAACCAAAATGAGGACGAATTACATGCAACTTTTACCTTTAACACTGTCGTCCTTTGGACTGCAAGGAATCTATTTTATCCTTAGAAATACTTCTCATACAGGCTTGCTTGAGAACAGCACGACATCAGTACTTGCCAAACCATAGGTCTGTATCAAGCAAAATTTATTCACTGCAGTCTGTTTTAAAATAGATATCTATATACATGATATACATACATATATATATATACACATATGGTAACAGTTTGCATAATTTAATCTGAGGTACGTTTTATTAGCAGTAATTCACTTCTACATTTAGACAAAGAAGAACATCATTTAGGTCATGTATGTTTATACACATGTTTGCAGAAAATTAATACATGATGTAAGGAGAGAAGAGTGATTTAAGAATATTTATTTAATGCCTACTAGACCTGGAATCAAGTACAAGAAGTGTTATGTATTCCTTTCTTTTCGGTGAGATCCCATTTCATCTTTACAGTTCATGCTACAGCTACTTGTTGCTTAGTTGTTGAAAGGATCAGTTTCTAGGGAGAGTGCAAACAGTCAGAGAAGGAACTCCTTCAAGCACTGAAGACAGCTACAGGGATGTCTTTTAGCCTAGGACTCCTCTGTGCAGACCTGTATGGCTGTGATAGTGAAGGAAGACTTGCTGCTGAAGCTGGTCTTTTGCTTCCTATGAGACAGATGAGAGCTACAGAGTTGCATTCTGAGCTTCTTGGGAAATACAGAGTTTAATTTTCTGATACTGTTCATGAAACTCACAGGCCTCTTTTCTTTAGCTGAAATGACTGGTTAGTAAACATCCTGCCCTTTCAGAAACAGTGTTGAATATACACTGATAGACTAGATGTATGCATATTTTTACCATGTTCTTGCTATAAATGGAGATAAGCAGGACTGTGTACTGGTTGCAGAGCCAGGTTTGCTGCATTGATCAGCACAGCTTGTAGGTGCAGTACTGGCAGCACTGTGGTGTGTCACACAGACAACTGACATTGGAAGATGTGCCCCCTTAAAGAGGTAAAGTTGGCTGGTGCTGCTGCAGAGTGCTGTTGGCAAATGAGAGAGGACAGGATGCAGTGGCATATAAACAGGACTACTGTATTAGGTGAAACTACACATCTGCCTTGCTATGTAGCTCTCATCCTGTGTGTGTATGCAATGGTCATTTTGGACAAGATTATAACAGCAGGGCTAAGTATACTCTTATACTAGCATAAGATAATTCCTCTTGAACATGACAGATTGTGGGTTTTGATGAAGATGTATACACATGTGGTCATGACCAATCTCTTCCATTCTTTCCAGTGTTCCATTTTTTAATCTTTTCTTAGTCCTTTTAGCTTTCACAGCATCCTATGGCAGTGAAGTCTATAATTGACTTATTGCTGTATGGAGAACCTACACATTATGTTTGCTTTCTTCTGATTATCCTTCAGATCTCATACTATAAGAAATCATAATATGTTTTTTCCTATTCCCAGTCTTCATCACATTCATTATTTTTTATGTCTCAGTCACATTCTTTTTTCAGATGCACAGTTCAATGTGGGGAAAGAGGAGGGATGGAGATCGTACCATCAGCAGGGTTCAGTCACACATTTTTGAAAGTGATTTAATATGCTTGATGAGGTGATGTTCATTGGAGATGCTTGTTCTCTGTGTTCTGAAGGACATAAAGTTGCTTACTCTCTTCTCATAAAAGGTAGTTTGCACTCAGGCTGAATCAGTCTTTGATATATTGCTGCCCAAATTTGAAACTCGGAATGACAAACTTTTTGAGCCCTGTTTCTCACAATGATGTATAGAGTGCTGCTGCCAAGCAGAACAATTTGCAAGTGCCCAGAGTCTTCCTGGGGAGAGGATTTGTCTGCTCTTCCTCCTATGTGAGACTTAAGGCCTTCTTCTGCTCCCTTATGACCAGTATATCCAGAGAATTTATCTCAGTAGCTAGCACCATCTGCCTAGGATCTCTTGAAGATCTCTGGATGTTGAAATTTTTTTTCTCTTAGGGTTTGTCTTTGAAATTCATTTTTAATTCCTTGTTTGTTGGTGCAGGAGAGTCAGTTGAGCTAATAAGTTTTACTCAAGGATTTATTATCTACAATAGTCTAACTCTCTCTTTACTCCTCCAGCTTTTGTTTGATGCTTTCATTTGACTCTTTCTTCCCTTTTTGTTACATCTTTGTCATCCCTCAGCATCCTGTAAGTGAAGTAGGACAATTCCATCCACACAGTAAAAGCACATGTACAGAGGGAACATAGAATCATGGAATCATTTAGGTAAGAAAAAACCTTTAAGATCACCAAGTCCAGCCATCAACCTGACCTATAAAGACCCATCACTAAACCATGTCCCTTCATTCCACATCTTCATATCTCTGTGTCTTCAGCCTGGTGCTGCAGAAACTCTAATGCTTGGTAGGAGAAACACTGACAGTAATGCACTGCTTTCATTCCAATAGGAAGGATGTTCATCATACATCTGGTGTAATGTCTCAGAGGATTTGGCTGAGATATTTTACTGATTGCAATGTGTTCACAAGGCTTCCTTCACAGTGCTGGAACAGTCCACCTGTCACAATGATGAAACAACGCATGTTTATTTAGTTCTTGGCAACTGGAATCCTATCAGGATTCTTGAACTTGAAAACTACGATTTTTCCAGTTAAAAAAAAAAAGGTTTTCTTGAAGAATGTGGATTGACTGAACTCTTTTAGTAGGACTTAGTTAGTTGGGAAAAATTTACCCCTACAAATAATCAACAACTGCAAAGCATATGAGTCTACTGAAATGTAAATGAACTCATTATCGATTTCTACAAGCTTCTATTTAAGATTTGAAAGAAAAAATGAGCCACATATAACAGTACAAGAATGAATTGCATAATTATGTTTGTTAACTAGCTCCTCTCTGCAAAGCTATCTGAGGTCCAGATATTTGCAGTGTCTTGAAAAAAAGTCCTGCAAAGAGTAAACTATGTTAATACTCAGCAGCGATGTAGACTCTCCACTGCTGTTTCCCAGGTGGAAATCCTTTGGAGCTACCAAAGGATACAAAGCATAGACTTTTATGACTGTAAGCATGGTCTTCATGCCAAATATGATGACCATGTTTACAGTCATAAAAGAATAAATAATCACTAGGATACTCTGAGCATTATTGAGGCATAGGCAAAAATTATTGAACTTCTCAATTCCATGAGCTCATTTATTTCCTTTTTTTATATCACTTTCTCTATTTCTGTGGCTGTTAATAAAGTAAATAAATGCTAGAACCTGTAAAAGTACATCTAGTATATTTTGCATATTTCAAGACTCTCTGCCAGAAAGTACTTTTGTTGCTATGTGTGAATTCCAGACTAATCCAAGAATGGACTCCACAGAGGAAAGTCTTTGGAGGCTTTACTGTGTGAGGCTTGAGATTCAACCAAAGTCAGCTAGCACGTCATCACTGTTGTCAATAGCTCTGTGCAGAATTTCTAGTGTACCCGGCTTTTCTCATTTTACATAGTATGGGATTAGACAAACACACAAGCAATTCTACACAGGGCTATATAGTGCTCTGTTTTAACTGTGTTTTCTAAGTTATTTAAGAAACCGTAGCTGTGTCAAAACACAGTAGATACCAGGATGTCCTCTTTTGTTGCAAGAAGCAAATGTAGTGCAAAGGGAGGCCAAGGAAAAAGCTGGGGAGGGAGAGGAAAACCAAAAATGGAAAAAATAATATCATTGCTTTCAATCAGAGCAATATTTAAAAAGAAATGCCATGGAAAAACATTCTACTAGATTTTGTCTTAACATTTTGATGTTTATTTTAGAGTAAACATTCAGTAATCACTTTCTTTCTGTCTTGGCATCAAGTTATTGCCCTTACTTTTTTTTTTTTTTACTTTTTTTTTTACTGGAGCATTGCACTCTTGACCGGATCCAGCATTTTCCATCAAACTTAGCTCAATCACAAACTTTTCTTTTGTTGCTTTCCTTTCTATCTCAGTAGTTATTCCCAGTCATGCTTGATCAAAAATTTGCCTTCATATTAAAATTTCAGTTTCACTTAAGCATCTTAAAACATTGTCTCTTGTCCTTTTAAGACTACTTTATTACTTTCATATGTAGTGTACACATTATAGTTTTGTATGTTTTATATATTAGATGTAGATTGAGTATACTTTGTTACTCATATTTTCCCATTTGCCTTTTCTTGAAAACTTACATAAATTTGCTTAGGTAAGAATTTTAAGACATTTTTGAGAGATAGACATAATGTCAGTGCCTTCATTTTTATTTAACTTGTTAGCTAGTTTTGCTAATTGCTTCATGTTTTTAACAAGAGACTGTACTTTGCTCTTGTACTAGCAGCTGTCCTGTTGACCTTTTTCTTGTTTGGCTGTACTTCAGCTTTGCATTTGTATTTTCTGTAAAATTCCACTTGCTATTTGTCTTCTGATATTTATGTGAGGATATTTCTGTTCCTTTGAGGGCATATGAGCTTCCTTGAGGGCCCAATTAACATTTTTTTCTTGAACTGTAGGTTAGGTTGGCATATGAACATTGCCACTAGATTTCTGTAAATCATTTCACTTTCCATTCTTATCAATATAGCAAAAAAAAATGAGTCCTGTATGATTTCTAAAACAAAAGTCTAATACTTCAAAATGCAAATTTTGGGAGGGATAGTACACTCTACATACCCAGAACAGTATATCTCTGGTATCTGTGTTGGAACCCAGATCTTGTGAATTCCAGTTCCTGGATCTTCTGCTGAATCAACTGGTGAAATAAGGCAGAACTT